AAAATAGATTTGCTCAGGTATGCCCTAGATTTTGATTGGTGAACATCCGAATGAATATGAAACCATTCAATATTTAATTATAGGACCAAGTGTCGTTAGCTCAACTGGTAAAAATTATAGGCGAAACTTAGATGTCGCCGGTTCGAGTGACGCTTGGGACGAAAGTAATATTACATGCTGTGGTTTCGGATCTGGGGGGATTAAAGGCTTTGAACCAGAACCTCATGGTATTCAAAATAAAAATAAATAAATATTTGATTATAGGACTTATGGTGGACAGAGAGACATGTAAACCAACATATATATAAAGACGATCCAAATTGTGAAGATGGTTTTATGAAATCATTGTAATTAATGGTATCCACATCTTAAAATAAGTTTATTCTTGTTTTTTTGCTAAGAATGTAAATATTTCATAAAATGAAAACGTTTTAGGTTTACAATCGACGATGATTATAGACCTACCCAAATGGTCCCATGGCAAAAAAGGTAAAAACATGGAAGCATAAACAATAACTAGAATTCGGTCCATCCTCTCAACAAAAGCGATGAAGCTAAAGGAGTAAGACGAAGCGATGACGATTTTGATTGCTCTTCCCGAATTTGTTGTTGGAGAAGAAGAGACCTGCAAGGAGTAGGAGCCGAATTGCGAAAGAAAGATAACACTAGAAGCCTTTCAAAGGACGTCCGAGAATGGGCCGTCAACGGCAGATAACTCAAAATCCTCGATCACATGCGTCTCCTCCGATATGTGAGAGCGACTTGAACATCACATCCATGAGCTTTCCCAAAAACGGAACCTCACAAACCAAATTATGTGAAACCTGCGAGCTCCCTCTACCAAGTTCAAACCCGAAGTCGGCTAGCACAGAGCAAGATAAAAAATTCCAAAACCACATCGATCACCAATGGCCTTACTAGCTCCTCTAGGACACAGACCAAAACGCAACAAAAGGCGAAAACCCAAAACAAAACTTACTCCATCTCATAGCAACGTCAACAGCAAGACACGATCAAAACCAGGGCTTGAAGCAAAATCAAAGAGTCGAGAATACCAGTGGCGAGGATGAAATGAAGACAGCCAAACAGCCACCACCGGAGGCTAAACCGTCATCATAGCCAGCACCACCGCAACGAAAACTCTCCTAATAGTCCTGCTGCCGTCCTCTAGCAGAATTGGCCAACAGAGAAGTCTCCATCCAAACGCCAAGTCATAACGTCGAGGCTAGCACCCAAAAAGACCGTCGAGACAGCATTGCTCTGAAAACCTATCAGAAGAAGCGTGACAAGAGTAGCCGAGGCCACGGAGACCAAAGAGGTGAAGCTTCACCTCAGCCCCCGAAGACCACTCCAGACGCCACAAGCTCCAGCTGACGAAGACGACCTACACGGCGGGGACGGAGGCAACTAACTTCTGGACCACCGCCGTCCTCAAACGATGAGTCCGTCAAGAAGCAGCCTGAACCGCCGGTGAGAGTAGATCGAGCGGCGGATCCTCCAGGCAAAGACATGGAAGGGAGACCGAAGCACACAGAGGAGCTTCGACCGAGAGAGGAGCGCAAAACGAAGATTGCGACCTCTCACTCGCCGCGTTTCAGAGCAAATCACAACCCAATGACCGCTTCAAACTCCGGGGAACAAAACCTGTGAACTAAGTTTATTCTTGGATTTTGAATATATATTGCAGTCAAGTTTGAGCAACATGATTTGAAATTTGCCTCTCTTTTTTTTTTTTTTAATGTTTCGCTAGAAAATTCATCGTGAGAATTTGTTAGAAAATTTTATTGAAGTTGCATGATAGTGAAAATATTTCCATGAACATTGTAATCTTATTATATAAGATGGGCTCTAAACCATAAGCCCAAAATTTATGTTAGGCCCTTGAATACAGTTTCGATTTACGATTCTGCCATCAACAGTGAGTTAGGGTTTTACAGTGAATACATATGACGCTCTCAAATCTTCCAGACATTCTTCTTCTCGTTTTTTTCCCCATTTCTACTTTTTTTTTTCCTCTCTAGTGTAGTAGGAAAAAAAAACCCAAGATCTGTAGTTCGATCAGATCGAGAAGAGCTCGAAAATGGCGCTGGCGTTCGATGAGTTCGGGCGTCCGTTCATTATACTAAGAGAGCAAGATCAAAAGACGCGTCTTAGAGGAATCGATGCTCAGAAAGCCAATATCGCCGCCGGGAAAGCCGTGGCTCGGATCCTTCGATCTTCTCTTGGACCCAAAGGAATGGACAAGATGCTTCAAGGACCTGACGGAGACATCACCATCAGTTCGTTTCTTTACTTTTGATTTTGGATTTTTAGTTTTGTTCTTCTATACTTGAAATAGGGTTTACTATGTTGATAAAGTAGTTTGATGAATGGATCTATCTAGCTTTTGAAAATCGATTCGCTATGTCTGCGAACTTGGCTACTCTGCGGGCTTGAGTTAAATGCTAATGGTTTTAGAGATTGTTAGCAGTAGTTGCCGCTTTTGAGAGAATCAATGTTATCTTGTTTATAACCTCGCCATCTTTATGTTTTTACAGCAAACGATGGTGCTACCATCTTGGAGCAAATGGATGTTGACAACCAGATTGCTAAACTTATGGTGGAACTGTCGCGGAGTCAGGATTATGAAATTGGTGATGGAACAACAGGTGTTGTTGTTATGGCTGGTGCACTTCTGGAGCAAGCTGAACGTCAGTTAGATAGAGGAATTCATCCCATCCGTATTGCTGAAGGCTATGAGATGGCTTCTAGAGTCGCTGTTGACCATTTGGAGCGTATTGCTCAAAAGTTTGAATTCGACGTTAATAATTTCGAGCCCCTGGTTCAGACATGCATGACTACTCTCTCCTCTAAGATGTAATGTTCCTTTATAATATTCAAGCTACCTTTCAGTTGTTGTTGCTTATTTTTGTTTGTGGTTTGACAATATTGTCTTAACTTTTTTGTTGTTCATTGTTACAGTGTGAATCGATGCAAGCGTAGCTTAGCTGAGATTGCTGTTAAAGCGGTTCTTGCTGTTGCTGATTTAGAGAGGAGGGATGTTAATTTAGATCTGATCAAAGTAGAAGGGAAAGTTGGGGGAAAGTTGGAGGACACTGAGCTTATTTATGGAATACTGATTGACAAAGACATGAGTCATCCGCAAATGCCAAAGCAGATTGAAGATGCCCACATTGCCATTTTGACTTGTCCCTTTGAGCCACCGAAGCCGAAGACTAAGCATAAGGTGGACATTGACACAGTGGAGAAGTTTGAGACATTGCGCAAGCAAGAGCAGCAATATTTCGATGAGATGGTTCAAAAGTGCAAGGTAGGTTCTAATTTGTATTTATTTATATTGTCATTTGGATGTTGAGTGAGCTATCAAAAAAGTGCTTTTGACAATGGTGGTTAGTACCGCAATGCATTTTATGATATGAATTATTTACGAAACTTGTGCTTTAAAATTGCAGGATGTTGGTGCTACACTGGTTATTTGCCAATGGGGATTTGATGATGAGGCAAACCATCTATTGATGCACAGGAATTTGCCTGCTGTCAGATGGGTCGGGGGTGTTGAATTAGAACTTATTGCAATAGCCACAGGTAAGTAAAGTACTCCAAGCATCTACTGCTAGTGTTTTTATCAGTTATGCAAAGCTGATAAGAAACTTTTCTTTATGTAGGCGGTAGAATTGTTCCAAGATTCCAGGAGTTGACTCCAGAGAAGTTAGGCAAGGTACTTTGTACTTTCAGTAGGTGTTGCCAGTAAAATGAGTGGAATGCTAAATATGTTTTAAACAGACAGACCATTGAAACCCAACATTTCCTGATATGTTTAGGCTGGCGTGGTTCGTGAGAAATCATTTGGCACTACAAAAGAACGAATGCTGTATATTGAGCACTGTGCGAATTCGAAAGCTGTCACTGTTTTCATCCGTGGAGGTAATAGCTTTTTCTTTAATAAATATTAGCAGCACTGTTTTGACTTTTGAATAGCTGGTGAGAGATAAACATCGACGTACTGAATCTAATGCCTTCTAAATAAATGGTGGACAACGATATTGTATAAGTGATTGATCCAACGATTTGTTTTGGAATATGGTTTAGGTAACAAAATGATGATAGAAGAGACGAAGCGTAGTATCCACGATGCCCTGTGTGTGGCTAGGAATCTAATCCGCAACAAATCAATTGTATATGGAGGTGGTGCAGCTGAAATCGCTTGCTCCCTTGCGGTTGATGCCGCTGCTGATAAATACCCTGGCGTTGAGCAGGTAAAATATGATCTTTCGGCTTTGAGCCTGAAGTGAAATAATTTGTTTCTCGAATCTTAAATCTAAATACTAATCATGTATAAATACTTCCTTATACGCAGTATGCAATTAGGGCGTTTGCAGAAGCTTTGGACTCTGTCCCTATGGCTCTTGCAGAGAACAGTGGGTTGCAGCCCATTGAGACACTCTCTGCGGTTAAATCTCAGCAAATTAAGGTAAGTAATTGATGAACTTTATTATCTATATCATTGAGTTGCTTGGTACGGTGACTGAACAAACACCGGATTTTGATGAACAGGAGAATATTCCCTTCTATGGGATAGATTGCAATGACGTGGGAACAAACGATATGAGGGAGCAAAATGTGTTTGAAACATTGATTGGGAAACAGCAGCAAATTTTGCTAGCTACGCAAGTCGTTAAGATGATTCTAAAGATCGACGATGTCATCTCCAATTCTGAATACTGATGTGTTGCTACCTCTGTAAACTCTTTGGCTTCTTGGGTGTTTTTTAGTTTGCTTTCTGTTAGCTTTTGGTACCACCTTGACAATCAGTATCTTTCACTCTTTCCCTTTGTTTAGCAAGCTTTTGTTTAAGAACATCGTCACATCTTTATTTTTGTGTCTTTGCCCACAGATGAAAACACTCGTTTGCTTTTTCTTTTCAATTTGGTAGCAGATGGACACTCATCTCGTAGTAGTATAGACTAAACTATAATCGTATTAGTGTAAAACAAGTGAACGAGGACAAAAGTAGTTTTGCTTAAACATTCTTAAGAACATAAGCAATATGAACCAAGCTTCCGTGGCTTACAAAAACCCATCCCCTATGGTCTTTGTACACAAATTCTAAACCTTAATGACTAATGTTTCGCACTCTTAAGATCTATAAACTTCGAACTCTGTTGCAGAGGGGCTAAAAGGACTGATTAACGAGATTCCTCCTCTTGTCTTATTCAAATCTCAATTCCTCTGTGTGCTGGGCTTGGGCTTGGTCAGGAGTGTTCCTCCTCTATGTATCATGAGAATGCTGTTGTTCTGTATCATGGCCAATGCCAAATGTCTCATTCGAAGTCTTCTCCTTAGATGGCTTCCCATTCACAGCTACGGTGCCATCGGATGTTTCTTCCGCAGCAGAAAGTTCTGTCTCTCCATTATCTCCAGCGACAATGGCTGTATCAGGTTTTCCATCTTGTTCATGTGCTTTGTTTGTATTTTGATTTGAAAGAGCTGCTTCAGCTTTCTGCCTCTCTTCTTTTTCCCGACGTCTCTTTGCTTCTTGCTCTTTGAGCAGCCTAAACCTGGAAATAACATGCACGTGTTAGTACAGAAAACAGCTTTTAGTAACGAATGATGACACATTTCAGAAAATTTTGTCACCTTTCACCAGGTTTAGGGCCTTCTGAGGTCACCTTTTCACCACCCTTCTCTCTTGGTATTTTCAGTTCTGAAACAGACTTTTGAACTAGTGCCTCTGAAATAGGCTTCTCAATTTTTTGTGTTTTATCTTCCTTACTGACCAAATTAGTGAATTTTTCCACTGGATTCTTAGCACCACCATATTTTTGAAGCCATACTTGCTGTGCCGTGCTCAAAATGTTGTTGGTCAGCCTGCAAAAGCACTTTCAAACTGAGAAGAAAAGCAAGTGGAAAGCTGACCCCTCACGAAAAACACAGAAAACCAGACTCACCAATAAAGACTTAAACCAGAAGGAACTGAGAGTGCAAAATAGCCAATCATCAGTGGAAGAAGCTTTGTCACTGCTTGTGAGCTCTTCATGGCTGGATCATTACTCTTGAGAAAAAATGATGAGAAAATGGCACACCGTAAATTTCTATGTTGCACGTTGTTGATTGAAATTAGTTTAATGGAATGAGCTTTCAGCACATGTACCAATTTACACATTTTCAAAACTAGCCGATAGTTCAACATAGACTTAACTACAAAATCGACTATTATCACATATTCCATAAGATGCTATACCTGCGAAGACTGCATAATCTGAATGGATAGGTACTGAGAGAAGACGAGCAATAGAGGTAAGACAAGATATGCTAATGTGTCTGGCCATCCGAGAGGTGGGTGTCCCTCCTGAAAAATAATATGGAAATTTGTAGACATCAGCAATGAGGTCTTCAATCAGTTCATTTAAATCAGTTTAATATGCTTGAATAATTAACGTGTAGTTCAAGAACAAGGAGTCTACTCTAGATTCCATTTTCAAAATATCCACACTACTTAATATCAAGGTTCAAGATTGATACTTACAATGAAAGGAAACAGCCATGAGATTCCACTGCCATTCTGTCTTGCAGCAACAGTTGTTGGACCAGCAAGAGAAGGTATCCAGAAAAAACCTTCCGTTAAGAGCCCCTTAAAGTTAGAAACAAGCATCCAGCAACTTGTCAGAAAAGAATCTCAAGGCACTTACAGAAACAAGAGGATAAAGTTTTTATTTCAGGTACCTCATCGGCAACATTTGAGAGGGCTCTATACAGCCCAATCCAGACTGGTATTGTGGCTAGTGTGGGGAGGCAGCCTAACAGATAAAATGAAAATATAGCTTAACCATAAATGTTGTCTCAAATGGAAAAACAAATGAAAATCTGAAGCAACAAACTGTACCTGCAAGGGGATTTATTCCAGCAAGTTTATACAATCTGGCAGTTTCAAGCTGAATTCTCTCCTGCAAAAATAAAGAGGGCTCTACATTCATAGACAGTAAAGCTATAATATTTGTTATATTCATTAGTATCACTCCACAATTGTGCATGGAACCAATAACAACACACTTGTTCCTACTTTTGCCTTAAATCCATCAACTAAAAACTGATGCAAACATAACCTAAGTATGGCATCAGGACAAAGAAAATCCATGTTTGCAGTATCAAAGAATGGGTTTTCACCTGATCACCGGCATACCGTTCCTGAATAGCCTTTATTTGAGGCGTCAAAGATTTCATTGCCATGGCAGATTCAACCTGTAGAGAATAACCCACAATTCAATGACATCCACTAAAAATGGTATCATGGCTTAGCAGCAAGAGAAACATACTAAAAACCTGCTTTTTCGTCAATGGGAACGTAGCAGCCTTAACAAGCACAGTCAATAGAATGATAGCGAAACCATAGGAATAAGGAACATGAACAGTTGATAACCCATCTTTCAAAACCTGCATATCAATTCAAATCCAACAAAAATCAATCATATAGCACATAAAAATTCATTCTTTCAAAACCAAAAAGACAACTTTATATACCTTGAGAATAGTTTCCATGTAATTAGCAATACCAGAGAACCAATCATTGTTCTGGTTTGTGGTGGAAGTAGTACCAGCGACAGATTCAAAGGTTTCAGAGGACGAAACGGCGGCATCAGCGATCGTGTACAAGAGATTCTCGGCATGGTCCTTGATGAAATCGAGAGAGTCACCTAGGTCGGGAAACGAACCTGGTCTGAACCCGAATTGAGCTACGAGAGTCCGATAACGAGACGAAGACGACGACCTGTGGCTGAAACGGGAGCGGCGGAAGTGGAGGACTTTGCCTGTGGAGAAAGAGGAGAGGATAAGGTGCGTCGGCTTTAGGGATATTGAAGAAGACATCTCTAGGGAGAAGAAGGTGGGAGAGTTTTAGGGTTTTGGTTCAGAAGACAAATTGGGGAAGGATTTAGATTTTGTTGGAAGTATTGTTGTGTGTTCTTGCTTCGCGTCTCAGTGTGCGAGACCGAACTGGGAAGTGGAAGCTAACAAAATTTTGTTTTTCTGATTTTCTTAAATAAACAACACAAAGTCACAAACTATAAACCTTTTTTAATCACTTTTTAGGGTGAATATGTCAAAGAAAAATAAGACAAAACTTTCGTTTTGAGAAGGAATTTTATTTTTTGTTGATCAAAAAAAAAAAAAAAAAAAGAGAAGGAAATTTTTTTTAAAAAATCTCAACTTCCTTTTTTTTTTTTTTCAGCTCTCAGTTTTTGTTTTGATCAAAGAAAATCTCAAAACTATTTCATTAGGCAAAAAAGTATCCAATTCTACAATGACTAAACCGAGTTAGTCCTAACGTTAATCAAAATTAGCAAAATATTTAACAGCATCCGAAGCAACACCTACATACAATATGTTGTTGATACCCTTGAGGCCTTTGCCAAAATGTTTTTTCCCTAAACAATTGTGGCTCTCCCATTGGCTCCCTACTCACAAGTCACAACTAATTAAATTCTACAAGGCGAAGTAACACTAATATCTATAGTCGAATTTCGGTGAAGAAAACCATAGAGATAAACATTTAATTATTTGCCAAACAATTCATGATTTAGTAATTTTTGTATGATAACACATACGATGAAAAGAGTCAAATTAGTATAAATTACATCTAACAACCAATAAATCAGGAAAAAAAGAATAACATAAATTGGAGGGTGGTTTGGTGACTGATGATGGATCCATATGTAGTAGAACTCGTCATTATTTCCCAGCATTCACTACTGTTGCATTTCCCATATTGTTTCCCACATTCACTTGTACACTTATATTCTGTTTGAGTGGCACTGCATCCATAAAGAAATATTTATATATAGATTAATTAATTCAAATAACCATTATAGCAGAAATTCAAATAAACAAGATCTATAGATAGTTATAGTTTACTAATGAAAAAAGGAGAATACATACTTTCTGATTCGGGGTGGCGCCTAGGTTTGATGAAATATTTCCAGGCGCCCCAACCACCAGCTCCAAGAACCAACAACGACGGGAATGAAATACCAAGAGGTAAAGCTAAGCTGCTGCTTTTCTCTCCATCGGACTTCCCTGTAGAATCTTCATATTAGACAATTTCATAACGCTTATATTCATGATAATAAAAGAATCATTACCGGATTTGCCTCCACCACCACCGCCAGTGTTGCTAGGGGGGCTGCCACCACCACCGCCAGTGTTTGGGCTGCTACCACCACCACCAGGGCTAGGACTGCCACCACCGCTCGTGCTTGTTGAATTCGTCCCGTTTCCACTTCCACCACTATTACTAATGACATAGAGCTCGAGAGCGTTGATGAGTGGGTTCAAATTCGAGTCTGGTGTAGCCTTAAAAGTCAGATAGGGAAGCTCACTCTTTCCCACACCCCTCAAAGAAGCTTGCGTCACTGCCCCAAAAGGTGGCACAATTAGATTTGAACCCACTTGCTTGTCCTGATCATAGTAAACGTTGAAAGACCGCTTTTGGTCAGAACCAAGGCTTAGTGGTTCCGAGAAATAAATGACAATGTAAAATGTCACTCCAGAAAAAGGTAGCTTTATATCATAGAAAGCCATGTCAGTCTTCGACCAAGAAGTCCGAAGGACAATCTCTGGTGGTCGATTGTCAGCTCCTGTTGTGTTGATAGAAGTGGCAGAACTTGTTAGATGTGAGACAAAAACCGTTGCTGGCAGCCATATTCTATCATAAGGATCATATGGGGACCTGAAAATGTTTATGTTATAAATTATCCATATATTTATGTTTTATTCATTTTATCTTTCCTTATCATGAAAGCCCGGGCCTTACCCTTGGCCTGATGCTAGAAAAAAAAGAGAAAGCTACAGTAAATTGTTTTTTATTAACCAAATGCTAGTTGGTTATTCCTTGACTTTGGATCTACGTACGGTTAGTTTTCCAAATATAGTTAACTCCGGTTTAATACTTCCATGGACAGCATTGTATAAAGCAAACTGGTAATCGCTAGAGTAAGATCCGCTGATTTTTTTTTTTTAATATATATGTATGTTTACCTAATTACCTTATTAATTCCTGCGCACCGTAGGCGGTCCTTTGCTGGAGGATGAAACCTTCCTTAGGGCCAAGATCGGTGTACATAGAGTCGTCCAACCTTCGTACTTCAATGGTGGACACAAAAGGGTGTTCGTTCGAAAGCGTACGGAAAAAGCAAACACTGATATTCCCGTTTTCAGGAGTAAATATCGCCTCTGATTGAGTAACTTTTTCAAATGTCGTTGTGACGACCGAATCTCGATGTTTACCATCATACACTACATCGAATTTGGGAGCCTTGGATTCTCCATCATAATCACCATAGAGGAATCTCGTTCTAACTAAGACTTTCCCACCTTTATCTACCGGAATGTTGGTGTAACAATTGGTCTCTCCCGTAGGAAAATACCGAAGTGTGGTTAGAGAATCAGAGAATTTGGATATTAGTACAAATTTAGACGTCAAACCGGTGGTAACAAAGTCTGTGTCTCCCACCCACGTTCTGTTGTCTGCGTCAATGTGCGAGCTTGATGATCCACAGTCTATGCTTATGTCTGAAACCCATATTCACATCAAACTCAAATCAATCTTACTTTGAAAATATATATAATATAAGTTTATATATTAGTAAGTATAACGTAAGTGGAATAGCTAACCGGCTGCATTAGAAAGAATTATGATGGAAAAACTTAGGAGAAGGCAAAGAAAAGAAGCTTGAGCCATGCTTGATTCTTCCTTCACCAAGAGACAAAAATGTATTTTCATGAGCTTATTTTATACATGCATGCTCTATATTAGAGGAAGAAATTACTCTTTTTAGCCCTACATTTTACGGAAAACATTATGAAACACCATATGCTTAGAAAGAAACATAATTCTTTGATCAAAAAAAAAAAAAAAAAAAAAAAAAAAAAAAAAAAAAGAAAGAAACATAATTGTGCAATCCCGAATATAATATATTTCATAGTCATGAAAACTTTATTGGCGTTAAAATTCCAAATGTAAACTTGTTCCTCGGAATTTAATTTAGAAAACAAACACTATGCAATTTTTTAAACACACATTATCTATATTTAATACGATCAAAACGTGGATCGAGGTGATGACACAAAATGGCACATTTATAAACATGAAATAATTCGATATATATGACAACAAAAGACCAATATAAGAATGTGCAAAGAGGTTCTAAATAATATTGTTAGTGGTTAAGGAATGTTCAAAGTAATTATAGGGTGGTTGACTTAGTTAGTAGACCATAGAAGTTGGCTGGGTCGTCCGACGTCGAAAGGCTAAATCATACGTGATGTGGTTCCGACTAAACCAACAACGTTAAAGAATTAGTTAAAAATAATTTGTTCGACAGCTTTTTGGCTAATATTATAGCATATAGTTGTAAGTATAAGAACATTTCAATTCATCTTTCAATTTAATTTTTGAAAAGTATTGGCGCTAAATGGCAATATTAAGCAAATCCGTATTATCTACCAACAAAAATAAAATAATAATCAAATCCGTACACAAATTAATTTCTAAAAGTCAGCCTAATAGACTTGACGTCGACTTCACTTGAACTTGTTTAATGGTTTGGGCCGTTTGGCTAAGTTCATTTATCTACATGGCTGGAAATAATTTATTGTGTTTGATATTAATGAATTAACATCGAGTCACATATGTCGTCTCATTTGTTACCTCTTCAGCTCTTCTCCCCAATTTTTATTTTTTTCTATCTAGCTACCATTTTTTTAGTATATATTTTCAAGAAAATTATCGTTCTAATCATCTTCAGACTTCAATAGTGGAAGTTTTTTTTTTTTTTTTTTTATATCAAGACAAATACCAATAATCTATTAGGTAGAAAATTATTTGGGATTATTTAAGGATATAAAATATCATTTCTTCGAAATATTAGAGATATGTAAAGATAGATCATTCACTCAATAATGTATACATCTAAAAATAGAGGTTCAACACACAGTATTTTCAAAATAGTAATTCTGCATTTGGTTCACACATCAAAATAAAGAAAGAATATTTTTCGATTCTAAACCTAAATCGTTTTTATCTTTTAATGAAATATTTACATAATTAGCAAAAGAAATGAAAAGATTATCTAAGATCATAACAAATTTCTAAGATACGACAAAAAAGACCTCGATTGATCTGAACTAAGCATATATACATTTCACCTTAGATTTAATAATAGAGCGACTTGCAAAACAAGCTAGAATAATGTTTAGGAGTTGAAGCTTCTGGCTTCAACTGTTCAACATGAGCTAATGCCAGGCAACTGGTTTTACATAAGAGTTCCCAAAATCTTCTCTAAATAAGAGAATATATATATATATATATCAAAAACAAATGAAAGTGATGAAATCGGAAATTATCACCTTCCCACTTCACAGTTTACACTAATCTGGTAATCACTAGTAAATGAGCTGCATGCTACTTAAGCTAATGGACGGTTAAGATTAAAAGCTGCCTTTAAACGCACTTTCTTAATCCCCTCTAATATTCTCATCATATTTATTCTCTTAAGTATTAACTCTCTCTTCTTAATAGTTTGATGTTTTAGGATTTTTTCTTGTTACACAAAGTTTGATGTTTTGTAATAATATTATTATTATTTTTAGAGATAATTAGCTAATAGACAAAGATTTTGGAGGAAATAAAATTTTCGGTAAAATGTTGTCGGATCCAGAACAACGTAAATAATTAGCCTACTATTTTCCCTTTTTTGCCCCTACGCGCTTCTCCATTTCGACACGATCCGGTTTCATACTTGAGACATCAATGTATTGTGCATGGATGTCCAACAAACTTTATAGATTTATGTATATATTTTGCATGTTGTCTCTTTCGTGTGCCGCCAACGTTTATCCTAAGCTAGGTACTGTTCACTTACTTTGTTCGACGGTTTGGATTTGATAATTGTAGTATATGCATTGTAGCATACATATAAGTATACAAATGTTAATAACACTCTATATATGTGTTTACATGTATATAAATATTAATAACACTCCATGTACGTGTTTACATGTACACAAATGTTAATAACGTTATATATATATGTATTAACATATATACATAGACCAAATTATTTAACACTATAATTATTTCTAACGCTCTATGTATGTGTTTATATGTATACAAATGTCAAAATCATATATAATATTCATTGGGTGTCCATGCAATTAGGTTAGTTGTTTAAAAAATTCGAAGAACTATTTATTGGGTGTCCATGTAATTATGTTAGTTGTTTATATTTTTCGACCGTGTGTCGAAAATTGCATTAAATGTGTGTTGCATCATTCTTATTGTAGCCGAATAAGTCTCACTTCAACTGCAGTTCATTTAATACATGTCAGACTGTTATTTCGTTCGTTCGAAGAGGCAACAAATTACAAACCGAGCCTCTTTTGAACGTCTTTTGTATCGTTGTCTTGGACGTCCAACCCTATTGTCTCTCAGCTAATTTCCTCTCCCACTTTTACCTCTGCGCTAATTTACTCTTATTTTTAATCCTAACCAATAGTAAGAGGAGAGAAGTGAAACTAAAATTATTAAACAAACAAATAAATAATTATATAATATAAAAATTAATTTTTCTTAATTTAGCCGCAAAACCCAAAACATCAAACTTAAAAGAGCAGAGGGAATAAGAGCATCTCCATCCATCAGACACTGTGTGGGTGTCTCAAAAATACTATTTTAATCAATTTATAATAAATAAGTTATTTATTTAAATTATAAATTATAAAAAAAGAATTTGACAAATAATAAAAGGACAAATGGAGACACAGTTTCTCAAACCAGAAACTGTGTCTACACTCTCTCCTACTTTTATATTATTTTCTATTTTTTTTTATCTTTACATAACCAATCATTACCATTCGACACGTGTCGTCTACGTCTTAGCTGAGATACTCTTAATTTGCCTTGCCTTTTAGTACACCTTTCTTCTCTTCCCTCCATTTTCATTCACCTGTTAGAGAGAAAGAGAGAGAAAGATTTGTGTTTGCAAATTTCTCATACGAGGAAATGAAGCAACCAAAGCCGATTCTGAAATACGTCTTGGTCTCTATCTTCCTCAGTCTCCCTCTCATTCTCTTCTTCTCTATACAAGTACGTAAACCCGAAAAAGAACTCATCAGGATCCGACCCGGTTACACGTCTTACGATTACTACATCCAACGACAGCTCAACAAAACACTTAACCCCAGGCTACGTACAATATGGATGACACGAGATTGGGACCGTAAGATCAAAGTGTTCTCAAGATTCTTCCAAGATCTGAAACGTCAAGGCCTCTTATCCAACGACTCTAAATGTCTCTGCGTCGGAGCTCGAGTCGGGCAAGAAGTGGAGGCCCTGAAACGTGTAGGCGTAAACGACTCGGTGGGAATGGATCTGGTGCCGTATCCGCCGTTGGTGGTCAAAGGAGACTTTCATCACCAGCCGTTCGATGATGAGACTTTTGATTTTGAATTCTCCAACGTGTTTGATCATGCGCTTTACCCGGAGAAGTTTGTTGGAGAGATCGAACGGACACTGAGACATGGAGGTTTATGTGTTTTACACGTGGCTCTCTCTACACGCTCGGATAAGTATTCAGCCAATGATCTGTACAGTGTGGAGGCATTGGTGAAGCTGTTTCGACGATCGGAGGTCGTTCATGTCAGAAATGTCGACGGCTTCGGGTTGGATACGGAGGTCGTGTTTAGGAAGAAAAGGGAGTCATCCATACTAGTCCGGTCTTGAATTTTGTTCGTGCTTAAATTTATTTGTTTGTTTTTTATGTCACGTACATCGAAATATTATTAAATGGGAAAATTGTTCAGGCCCAATGGGCCATATATTTATCCCACGAAAGGTGGAGGAGCCACTTGCTATATCCTATATGCAAATAAAAACTTGAAATATGATCATAAGCATTTTAAGATAATTAACTTCTTCTGCGAAGTCCGATAGAGAGACGCCAAGTATCAACGAGGTTATCCGGCACAAGTCCGACAAGAAACCACTGAAGGGAATGAGCCCAAAACGGCGAGCAACGTGATCCAATTCCGATCTGCTCCACCGCCGCTTTTGCGTAGACTTCAGGCGACGGTACAAATAAGCTTGGTTTATCTATAGCTGCCACTTCTGACACCATCCTTGTTGCTACGTATAAGGGTACCTGCCCATTTGTATAACATTAATTTCTTTTACGTATATTACCTGGAGGAGTCCGAAATATATATGATCAAATACATAATATATTGGATAGTCTTTAAAGACAGAAAAAGTACCTGACACTGGACATCAATACCAAACTGCTTATATTCCACATGTAGAGATCTTGATAGTGCATCAACATAACTGCATACACGTGTTGGTTCATGTGTTTAGAGATTTATTAATGTGACAATTAATCTGCATGTAGATAATATAATGATATAGTCTACTTAGATGAATAATTTAGCAAATTAAACTATTTAAATCATGTTCAATGCAAAAAATCTAGATTGTAGTAATATATATTTAGTGTAATGAAAAGGAAAAAATACTATTTACTGCTTTCAAAGTAAAAATGTTAGTCTAGACTGAGGTTTTCTCGTATGATTATATACTTCTTCAATTACTTTTAAGTTTTAAGCATGCATCCACCACATAATAGTATAAATAAGAAAGCCACGTGTCTTAATCGTGGGAGATACACATCAATAAGTTAATTAGACAATTTTGGATCGTCAATGCTCAAGCTCCACACAAGTGCTAATTAATAAGCTTTTTCGTATTTATTCTACAACCACTACCAAGAAAAGGAAAGAACGGAATGGAAACCTTAATCTAGTGCATTTGGACAGGAAAGAAAAGTAAATGAAAAGTGAAAGTGGTAAGTCCTTACGCTTTGGTGGCGGCGTAAATGGCGTAGAGAGGATGAGAAGGGACAACAACGGCAGCACCGGAGCTAATATTTACGATGGCTCCTCGGCGGCGGTGAAGCATTGGTCCGATGAGTGATCGTGTGACCCAAGTGGTGGCTTCAAGATTAACCCTCAGGATTTTGGTCCATGTAAGTTGGTCAACCTCGTGGAAGAACATGGCCCGTGGATAAGTGATACCAACGTTGTTTATTAGAATCCCAACTTCAAGGCCTTTAATCCCTTCCTCGATTGCTCCATATCCTCCTTCTACACATTTTTTTTCAACTACATCTTTTATATTCCTATATACTGGTTAATTATGCTACATTTCTTGAGTTCTATGTACGTATATTTATGCAGACGTAAAATAGCTTAAAATTAAATTCACCCCACGACATAATAAAGATGCATTAACTTTAACTAAAAAAAAAAAAAAAAAAGATGCATTAACTACAAAAAATACTAGGTCAATTGGAACTTTTTTAAAGAATTCAAAACAATTCACAAAATATATACTATTTAATTTTATGTTTAATCTTTTAAACTGCATATATTGTTTTTTCCTGCAATACAATAACAAAATCGAGTGTTTTTGCCCTCTTACGAACACATAATAATAAGTGTAACTATATATATATATATATGTACAATTTTGTTCGAAAATTTCTGACAAACACACACCTATATATATATATATATATAATAAGTGTAATTGTGTACTATTTGAAATGATTCATATTGAGTAATGGTATATTTACCCTGGTCGTTGAAACAAGAATATTTATTCAAAATTGCAATCATGTACTAATATATTTTTACACTCACACACAATGTCAATAACTATGTATAGACTAGTTCTATATGATTGATCTAAAGTAAGAAAGAGCATTTATTATTGTTACCAGAGGAGAAGTCAAATGGAATGATCTTGATCTTGATGTGGGGAAACTCTTGTTGGAAATCATCAGAGACATATTCGAGCTTCGAAAGGTTTCTGCTGACTAGGATGAGGTTAAGGCCGTGTTTGGCCAGCTCGTAAGCAAAGGCGCGTCCGATCCCCTCGGTGGCTCCAGTGACCATAGCCCATGAGCCGTACCGCTTGAGCCGCTTGGGGTTTGTGAGGAGGAATCTGATGATGAACCATTTTAGGAGAGGAATGAATAGTAATCTAAGGAGAGAGAGAAAGCCTATGAAGCATACGACATGGAGATGCCATGGCTGACTCTCGGAGATGCATGCTCTCTGCATGTTCTGCTTTCTCTTTCTTTCTTTTTTCCTATATTTGTTAGCTGATTATTTGTCATGTCATTTTGGTTTGGAGCTAACTAACTCTTTATGTAGGAAAACTAGAGTTGAGAGAGAGAGAGATTTATTATTTTCCTTTGCTCAATCTTAATTGCTTTATACAAAATGAGTGAGTTTACAAGAAAAGACCAAGTCATCATACTATTAAGGATAAGTCATCTTTAATTAAAAAGAAAAAAAATCTAATGAAAAAAAGTCAGTGTGTTGCTCAAAACTCAAAATTCAAATACACAACAGGAAGAATATGATTCTTTTAGGTATTTGGTAGGTTGAGGTTGGGACATTTTTTTCACTATAAAAAGGACTATGCAATCAATTGGTGGACAGTCTTTTTGGTGTTCAATTTAATGATCTAGTTCCATTGCAGATTTTCAACATTAATCACGTTATTATATTGTTCAGCTAATTTAGCTCATTTTGTCCAACTAATCTAAATCGACAGTACTAATCAAATTTCGAAATCTCTTGCAGGTTTTCCTTTTCATCAATTTAATTCGATTCTAGTTTTGATCCATCATAGATGCAAACAAAAATATGTACTCCCTCCGTCCCACAAAAATAGATTTTTTAGAAATTTCACATTCTTTAAAAAATAATGTATAATAACAATTTTAACCTTTTAACATATTTTAAAGAGTATATTATTTATTGTTGTTTAATAAGGGTAAAATAGTATATTATTTATTGTTATTTTTTTTCTAAAAAATTCATCTTTGTGGGACGGAAGAAGTATATTTTTTTAGTCGCCTCTATTATTGTTTAAACTTTAATGACAGGCTTTTCTGGTTAGACCAAGTTATCTCTTGCTTTTGGTTAGTAGAGGCAAAGCTTGAATACGTCAATTCCAAAGTTCAATCTTTGGGAATAGAGAACATAGTTAATAAGTGGTAGGTATGAAGTCAATAAGTCTCTCTCTACTCTCGAAGTCAAAGGCTATTAAGGAGTCAAAATGTTTAGTTTCGTTATCATACTACATATTCAGAACATTTTTTTACAATCATTCGAAACTAAAGAGTCGTTGCCGACACAAAACTTGTTAAGTAATGGAACAAATGATTCACTTTTCTGAAAAACTTTGAGACACAAACAAACCCAACTGTAATAACGTACTGCTCCATTTCGGAGTCCTAATCGAACATTCTAGGACTAAGAAACTGAAGAACTAAAACAAAAAAAAGCTCGCAGATAATCGAGACATTATTCAAGTTATATATACAAGACGACACCTATCATTCTCTGCTTATGGGTCGACAAAGAATGGGAAGAATAGAGAAGAGAAGAGAGAGAGGAGAGAGCAATATATGTGTTTCTTTTGTGTGTAGTTTCATGTGAGAGACCTAAGAGTCACCTGTCTTGATTACAAGATGGAGGCTAGGAGCCACAGATGCAATAAGAGACTGTATACCATTACGCCAAGCCTTGCTTGAGGACGGCTCATTAATACTCTTCCACCTGACACCCTGTGTTGCAGAAATCAAACCCGCAATTAATAAGAGAAAAATTAGGGAGAGCCTTTTCAGGGCTGTTTGATATGAGTGAGTATTTACCATATTCCATCAACCCTATCTGCTATCATCTTTCCTTGCGTTGGAATCAGACCAGACATGTTGAGAGACTTGAAAACATGTCCTGCCAAAGAATATACGTGTTTAAGATGAGTCAACTGAGCGGCTCGTATCATACTTAAGTAATAAGCGAGATAGATAGGTAGACGCCTAAGTCCTGACCTTTATCTTCATCTGTTTCGTTGTGGTTCATCAGATGCTCGGACTCTGAATCTATGTTGATTGAAAGATGATCCGTCGATCCCTTCCTCACTGTTCTCACTTGTGCTGCTGTAGGCACCGGTGATATTGATTTTATCCCCAAGGCTCCCTGAGCACAAAATGGGTTCAGTCCAAACTTGGAGATTAAAACATAGCAAAGACTGAAGCTAAAGGAATGCTTCTAAGATATCACCAATCAAAATGGCAGAGCTACATTTATTATAGTTTTAAGGTATAACTTAGCTGCGGATAGAGTAAACAAGACAAGGGTCAAGGAATAAGCTATATTACCTTGTCCTCAATCTCGGATATCTCTGAGGTAGAAGGTGCTCTTGGTGCTTCGAAGATGCTTCTTTCATGAACAATATCAGGCTGAATTGCTTTGCTTTGAAGTTTATCTTCAAATTCTTTGACTTTTATAGATAATTTATCGACAATTTTCTCGCTACCGGTCAACTTTAAACCAAGTTCTTGGGCCCTTGATTTTGAACTCTCTGATTCTAGGAGAATGGAAGTTATCTTTTTCTCTAGTGCTTGTACGAGTGTCCATGACTCGGAGAAGTTTGGGTCTACAACAGGATCATTGCCCGCCAATATACCCAGCAGTTTCTCCAAGCCAGATATTAGCTTGGACAATTCAGTCTTTGCCTTCACTAACTCTAGCTCGGTCGTACTCTCTGCTTCAGCCGCCTTCTTTAGACCTTGAATTTCAAGATCCTTTTCTGCCAAAGTGGAATTGAGCTCTTTTTGTCCATATGATAAGATGTCTATCTGATGCTGCATCTCAATAACACTATCAACAATCGCGAATAGCTTCCTTACATCATATGGACTCTGTGGATCTAATCCGTTGACTAGATCTACTGAAGGCACCTCAATATCATTTATTTTGTCAAAAAGGGCACGCATATCAGAAGCTGGAATTAGAATTTCCTTTGCCTCTGCAACTCGAAGCAACAGCACGTGACATTTTAGTAAAGTGGTAAACATGTGATGAAGAGTTAAAGAAATGAGAGACAACAAAAGATAAAATTACCTTGCTCTTGCACCAATAGTTTATCATATAACGTAGACAGTTCCACCTCTTTTTCATGCCATTTCTCTTCCTTCACTCTGAGATTTTCCAACTGAAGTTTCAGGTCTTGGCAAAGCTCTTCCAGAGATTCCACCTTGGCCTCAGAACTTGAAACATTAGTTTGGTTTAGATCTCTTTCTAACACAACCTTTTCTAGAGCGACAGATGCTTCTGTTAGTCTGTTCTCCATATCTCGGATTACAGCGGCAGCTGCATTATTTGTTGTTTCAAAGAGCTTAAGAGTAGCACATGCCTTCTCTGCGGCAGAAGATAATTCTTTTACTCTTTGGGTGCATGCACTTACATGAAGCTCCTGTGGGTCTTCAGTTGATTCCATCTCACCACCGTTTTCATTTTCTTGGAACTGAACCAACTCTAAGAGGTTATTTTTCACTTCTAACTGCAGTTCTCTGGCAGCCGTACCACATGCAGACATCAAAGATGACAAATCTTTTTGTAATGCAGCTATAGTGTTCTCCTGTTCGCGAACAATATCTTCCACACTCCTCACCTGTTCTTCCAAGGACGCATTATGACCCACAATATTTATCACATCAGCCCTAGCTGCTGTCATGTTTTGCATCACCGCCGCTATGAGAGTATCAATTTTAGTTGAGAAACCCTCAAAGTTATTCTCGAGGGTTTTGTTTCTCAGCCTGACCCCCTCTGCCAAGTTCCTAAGGGATGAAGAAATTTCGTCTTCATCAGCTGCACTCCCTTGACTATTCTCCGGCTCTGTGTTCACTGAATTATCAAGGTCACTCAACAACGATTTTGCCTCAGTCGAATCATCCTGCAAATATAACAGCGTTATCAAGAGAACAGCCTATTAAAAAATTGGCCAAGAGAGAATTCGTAAATTCTAGCCCATCTATATTGACAAATGTTTCACAGAATAATAATTTCATAATATCTCCATTAATCAACTCCCACCAGACAGATTCTAACTAATGTTGCATCCTTGGCAAACAACAAATAGGAGATCCCGATAGTTTAAGGCAACTTTGGAATCAACAAATATGCATACAGGAATGATGAAGGGCAGTGGTAAATTTGATATGAAAAAGTGAACTAACAGAAGGAAGATTGATCTGAAAAGGTAAGAGAATACTATTACCTCAGCGTTGCCAATTTCCGCTGCCAGTAATCCCTTCTCACCAATATTTCGTGTGATATCTCTAGCAATGACATCCACGTCTCTAAGGCTCTTGAACTTCCTTTGAAGGAATTCATTCACCCTGGAAATTAGACCTCCATCCTTCAGTAGCATCTGGAGATTATCAAGATGAGCAATAATCTCCAAAGATTTACTCTGTGAGTTTCCACTTGATCCACCTAACTCTTCCATGCATACATTAAGTTTACTACTGAGAGTTGATATCTCGCCTTCAGCTTTCACCATTTCTCCTTGTAAAGCAGAAAGACTATTCTCTGCCTTCATTAGTGCCTCCTCAAGGGATCCTATTGTCAAGGAAGCGTCGGCCATCTTGCTACGCTCAAACTCGGCCTCAATTTTAAGCTTCTCTAACTCATTCTTCAAACTTGTAGTAAGAACTTTGTCATCTTCAATTTGTTTGGACAGAGAATCCATGTTGCTTTCTGCCTGAGCAAGTGTCTCTTCAAGTGAATTTATGGTGCCATGGGCTTCTGTTAATTTGTTCTTCTGAATTGAAAATTCTTTTTGCACCATCTCTAGCTCCATCTCTGCAGTAGCAGTTCTGCCTTGAGCCTCTTCCTTTTCACTAATAATATCAGATATATTTCTTTCAGCCTGCATGAGTGCAGCTTCAAGTGTGCTTTTGGTTGCAAAAGCTTCATCCAGTTCGCTAGCTACAGAGGAGGCATCTGCAACTGCTTTTTGCAGCTCAAGGTCAACATTTTCCTTGGCAGCTTGGACTTCTCTATTCTCCTCAGTAAGCTGACTGATGTTACCCTCTGCAGTAGACAAAGCATCCTCAACCAATTTCAGGGCTGTTTGGGTTTCTTCTAATTTACTGGCTAACGCATAAACTTCTGCCTTTACTTTCTCTAGTTCTTCTTGTTCCTCACCTCTAGCCAGCTGCACTTCTTTGATGTACCCAGCAAGTCGGTCAATCTTTTCTGAAGGATCCTCAGATACTGCTAAATCAACAGGGACAGCTATAATTTCGACTGATTTCATCACTTTCTGCAACAACGTGTCATTTAGAGATAAGGATTGCTTGAGTTGATCTCTTTCTTCTTTAATAGCAACAAGCCCAGTCTCTAGCTTTTTCGTGCGCTCTAAGTCTCTCGATAACATATCTATCTGATTCTTGTAGCCATCAACCGTACCACCTAGCTGCTGCAACTTGAGCATCAGCTTTTCGATTTCAGAATTTTTCTCATCCAACTGAGTTTTAAACTTTTCCCTATCTTGGACTAGTCCCTTGCCTTTCTTGATAGCCATAGAAAGTTTGTCTCTGAGCAAAGCAGATTTCTCCTCTGATCGCTCAAGATCTTTCTCCAAAGCAATTTTTTCTTCTTTCACGAAAGCAAGTTCTTGAGATGCGATCTTTAGCTCATTTGAGAGATTGCTTACCTGAAAGCTAACCAGCTCTCCCTCTCCTAGCATTTCCTTACAAAGTGAAAACTCCAGATCTCTCACATAAAGGAGACTTTGAAAGCCTTCGAATATTTCTTCGTTGCCATAAGAACTGTCGCTAGAATCCTTGATTTGCTTTTCTATCTTCTCGAAAGATCTATCAACAAGTAAATTGATAGCTGAAGAATTATGATCTTTGACTCCTTCTGTCATCAAGCCAGAGATTTCCACAAGTCTCCTCACAATTTCCTCCCTCTCCAAAGAACCTCGCTCTGCCGTTTCCTCCATTTTTTTCAAACTGAAAGTTAAATCATCCAGTTCCTTTCTAATGTTATTTTTCTCCTCCATTTCTGCTGAAAGAGACATGCTTACACTTTCGATCCGGTTTTGCAAGGCATTAATTTCATCTTTTCCCTGGAGAAAAGATTCTCTAAGCCAAGCTAGGCGAATTTCTAAGCTGGATTGAGAAATCTCCTCTGGTAAGTCAATGGAAAAGATCAAATCTTTTAGTCTGTTGTATTCCTGGGAAACATTTGTGAGCTCTTTCCTCTCTTCTGCAAGTGACCTAACTTTTTCAACAATATCAAAAGACTGACCTTCTTCTGGTGTATCTATCTTTGACAGCATAGTTTCAATATTTTCAATGGTAGAGTTCCTCACCGATATCATTTCCTGATATGATGCAACCATAGCATCGGATTTGGCTAACTCGCCTTTGTCGAGTTCAGATTGATCCAATGCTGTTGACATCTCTTGTAGTTTCATCAAACACTCTTCAAGTTCTGTGGTTTTCTCAGCCAGAGACTGTTCCAACTCTTTCTTTGTTAGCTCATATGCTTCCAGGGATACGGACCTATCATTCAATTCAGCATAGCATTTCTCAAGTTCATCCGTCTTTTTGGCTAACAATTGTTCCAGCTGCCCCTTCACTACTTCAGAATTTTCAAGGGAAATTTCTTTCTCTTGTAATTCAGTCAACCTATTCGCAAGCTCTGTTATTTTTTCAGACAATTGATGCTTCAGAGCATCCCGATTCTGAACTAACGCCTTCCCCTTTGTTACGGCAATGCTGAGCTTTTCTTTTGTGTTAGTACACTTTGTCTTTTCTTGCTCAAGCTCTGCCTTCATTTTTTGAAATTCTGTTCTCATTGACTCAATCATTTCTTTATCTCTGTCCACTCGTTCAACCAAATTCCTATTTTCATCTTCTAGATGACTAAGTCTTTCCAAAAAGGCTGCTTCCTTCTGTTTGAGCTCAAGCAGCTCAGAACAAGCAGCACCGAGAGCTGAACCAAAATCCTCTTGGAAACTAAGATCCAACACATCACTAGACAAACACTTCCTTAACTGATCAGCACCATAGTAAAATTCAGTATACTTTGCACCTAAAAACGAAACTCGGTTTTCCAGATGAGCAAGCTTTTCAGAGATAGAAGAACCATACTGCAGCTCCTCCTGCCCAAATACATTACTAAGACAAACCATAATCCTATCTGTTGCAGCCTCAAGGTGCTCCATGTTCTGTGCCTGATCGCCCAATTCGGAAACCGACTGTGACGAAGAAAGCTCAGAGATCTTTGTGGTGAGATCAGCAATCTCATTGTCCTTCCCACTAATAACTCCGTGAAGCTCCTTGAGTGCATCCTCATGCTGAATCCTCTCTTCCTTGGCAGTTTTTAGAAACTTCGAGAACCGACTGACAATTTCCTCAGTAGTGTTCCCATCTTCACCTTTCAAATCATTCCCATCAGTCAAAAGCTTAAACTGCTCCTGAAGCCCTGCAAGTTCCTTCTCCCAATCCTCCTTCTCATTCTATATGCAGTAGACAAAAAAAAAGATCTTTTCAATAAATCCTTGAGGAAACTCAACTAAAAGTTTAGAATTTAGAAAGAATCAAAACAAATCACAGACATTGAAATGATATGCAAGGTCATCATTATCATCATCATCATCTGTGGTAAGAGCTTCCTTGCTAGGTGTATCAAAATTCAACTCTTCAGGAGCATCAACAAACATATCTTCCTTACTATCGACGAAAGCTGTTCCCTGCAATTACCATCCCCAAATTTCAGCGTACGATTCAGAGAAACTCGAGGCGATGGTAAAACAGAAATCTCACCTGGTCAGGATCAAGCTCTTCTTCTTCTTGCCCATTAGACTCCTCGTCATCATTCTCAACGGAATCATGCGGAAGATCATCATTCTCGTGCATTATCTAAATACGATTTTTGCCCAACAGATCTACCACGAATTCGGTGACCGGAGAAGAGAGATTAGCAATATCCGTAATCAAAGACGGAACCTATAGGGAGAGAGTCGAGAAATGGAGCAAAGGAAGTGTGTGAAACGGCTCGAGACAGAGAGATCCGTGAGTAATAAATTAGCGAGGTAAGAAGAAGAAGAAGCGTTGCAGCACGACCGACGCGGTGCGTCCCAAAATCGTTTTTTTTCTTTTTCTTTTGTACATATGTTTTGTTTTGTATAATGCTGTGTCGTGCCATTGAAGTGGGTGATGTGTTTCGTCCAATAAGAAACGTTTGCTTCTGTTCACGTGACTTTTTCATGGTCTATGTGCGATTTAAGGATCACTCAAGTATATTGAATGTAAGACAAAAATTAGACTATAATCACAGATTCTCATAAAATATTGCTTTGAATACATATAATCCTATACAGTACTATTTTATATCCACGAAAGTTATTTATTCCATTTTCTATTAATTAAACTCAACATGATAACAAGTAAATCATAAATATATATTTACAGTATATATTATCTTTTTAATACAACATACTATAATGGAATGAAATGATGATGGGATTCCCAATTTCCTATGGCTTGGTTGGTGCAACACATGTAACACTTTGAATTACTAATGTGTCGCTATTGCATCATTTGTACATTCTGATTACATAACATCTTTCACAACTGTTGATCCACAAGTCTGCATGCACATCTATCACATTTTGGACCACTTTCACATTTTCTTTGGAGAAATACCAGATTTCTTTGCAATTGACTGATTTGTTGTCTTTTTAACGTTTTTGAGTCTTTGTGTTATTTCAGGCATTGCAGCAAAAATAGACAGAGTTTTGGAGGAAAATGACCGAAAACAAAACTTAGACTACTAGAGTATGATCACTTACATCCTCATAACATCAGGAAATAGTTAACAGCATCAACCATATAATTCTAAGCCTTAGAGAAGAAAGAGTCTCTTAGAACTTGGCATCCGAAAAAACAAGACTTTAACTTAAAGCTCTAAATTACAACATAGACACTAGTCTTCCAGGTCTATCTCCATGTACCTTCCAGAAAACCTTGATGGCTTCATCAACCATTCCAGTATCAATAGCAATAGCTCCAAAGATTGCCCTAAAGCCAGCACAAAGAATGGCCGAGTTCGATGCGTCTGTCTTAGGAGAAACCCTAATTATCTTCCCCAATCCCAACCGGTCTCCGTCAAGAGCACATGAGGACTCCACATTTGAAACCTGTGCTATCAAACGCCTCAAAGCTTTCGAGGAGATATCGATATCTTTAGCAAGGAACTGAAGAGAGACCGAGGTTTCAATGATATTGGTTCCAAAGATACTCAAGGCTTTGTTGTTCTCTTGAGAAAAAGAAGCATGAGTCATAGCACGGCGAAGAAGGTTGGTGTTGTTAAACTTGTAGCTACACCCAAAATAAGAAAGGTCACAACTTTGAGACTTTAGATTCATGTCCTATGAATTTGAACCAAATCAGTGATTCAACTAAATCATCACATCAAGAGAGTATCTAATCTTATAGAAATGAACTTAATTTCCCTAATTATGATCCTCCAATACACATTTAGGAACAAATCAACAGAGAAGAAGTGACTTTAGTTACTGTACCCAATTTGAGTTTGCAGCGTTGCAAGATCCGTCGCGAACGGCGAGGGAAATGGTTCGATCCTGAGATTGATTTCACTTGTTGCCTGAACTTGAACCTACAAGAGACGCCACGAAGAAAGAAGCAACGGATCGTGTTCTGATCACAAACTATTAAAAAAAAGTTAGGGTTTTAGAGAAGAGATGAGATGGAGATACCTGAGAAAAGGATGAGAAGATCCCGATGGCGACGACAAGAAGAAGTAGAGTGAAACGAAGAGTCGCCATAGTTGAACCTTAGTGTTCTTCACTTGCTTTCACCACTGACTGTAAAAACCGCTCTCTGTTCTTCTGCGGGAGACGGGGAGAGACTTGAGCATTTTATATCAAGTGAAACAATTTGCCCACAAATGTACAATCACTTGGTTTGCTTCGGTTAATCTGTTCGGTTTGGTTCGGTTTATCCACATTGAACATCTCTAGGAATTGGGAATAAGAAATCAGACATGAAGAGAGGAAATATGTAGCGAAGATCATCTTTCTCATTTTATCTTTGATAATAAAGGGGTACACATTATGATTATGACAATCTTCTTAAATCATAATCTAAAATGAAGGAACATTTTGGACCACCAGATTCTTATGTACACTTAATTAAAGGTCTGGGATCTCTCTCTCCCTCTGTACACCCGTGTTTGTGTTTCGGGATCAAATCATATCAAGTACTCGTTGTAGACTAAGAAGGCAGCTTCTGGATAATCCTTTGGGAGGCTATTTATGTGGAGGTAGAACCGAAGAAGATCCTCTTTGGTGACTGTTTCTGGATCCACCACATCTTCATCGCATGTCAGCACCCACAAATCCTCTGAGTTCACTCTCTTGATGCTGCCCCGACAAAAGGGGCATGACTCCGACTTTGTGTTCCAGTTACGGTAACATTTGATGCACATGGCATGACAACAGTTTGGCAACACCATTTTGGTGCAAGGCTCTAAGCAAATCCCGCATTCGTCTTCTCTTTCCAAGTCGATGCTATTCATGAATCTGCTACCTTCAATGTCATACTGCTTTTTCGTGATGGCTTTTGGATTCGGATACCACAAGCTTTCGTCCGGTAAGTCAGCAAAGTTGATATGAAGTCGCTCAAGTGACGGTAATATAACACCTGAGCCAAAGAGCCCTGTTGTCAGATTCAGCCACTAACAAAAAAAACAATATGGCATCAAAAGGGCTTCTTAGTCTTACCGTAAAACTCCCTAATTGTAGATTTCCTTCCGTACCTGGATAGATTCCACCGTCCATCAGCACGTACCTGTACAAGACAAAGAAGACACCTATAAAACAAACAAGCCAAGGGGAAAGGAGAGAAACTATCAGGGAATCTACTAATCCACACACACTGACACACACCCAGGCAAGTCGTGTAAACAGAGATATCTATGTATGTGGTAACAACCTTGTATATGAGTATGTGGAAGAAATCAAAATATCTTGGAAGCAGACATGAGAAATCCATCCATTGTAAGAGGAATATGAAGAATGGAGCCAAATTGCTGCACACCAACTTCATCTGAAGACGCACACCACTCTTTCCCATTGGAATCTCAGCAGCCCTGAACCAATATTGAGAATAATCAGTTACTTTACTAATCCTTCTAACATAACCCATCACTCCAGACACACATATGCATCAAGAACAAACCACACAGATACAAATTTTTAGACTAATCAGTAACTAACTATTATCCTTCTAATCACATAAACCATTTCCACAGACAACACCACACATAAAACAATCCTGAGACTAATCAGTTACTATCCTTCTAATGACATATAACCCATTTTTCAGACAATATATGCCTCGAGATCACATCACGCATACCAAAAATTTGCAATTTTTTGACCATTTCTGCAAAGTTTCGATTTTTAATAATCTAACTTGGAGACTAGAGACTGAAAGTGGGTTTCGGTTAACTCAAATCCAGAATTAATCAGATCATCGAAGCCAACTATAACAATCGATAATGAAGACCCTAATAAACCCAGTAAAATCAGATGATGACTCACAGTCCATTGGCGTGCTCTATATCAGCCTCCAGAATCTTCAAAGAGTCTCTGTAAGAAGACTTGGTCAACTGATAATACATCTCCTTTACTAAATCCCTAATCTCGTCTCTCTTTCTCTCGATAAAGAAATGATCAAGACAAAGAAGACGAACAGGAAGAGAAGAGAATCCAAAGTTTGAGTCTTGAAACAGACAAACCCTTAGAATCCGATGAATCAAAAACAAACAACAAAGACGTCTGCTCTTCTCCACGTCTATCTATCTCTCTCTTCGGTTTCACAGAATTAAAGATTTTGGGAGAAAAAGATAAAAAAAAAAAGAAAGGAAGCGACTTTTCGCTCTTAAAAGATATTTTGAGGCCAGAGAAAGATAGAGATGAGGTGAAAAAAACCCAAGAGAAAAAAAAAATGAAAATTATATATATTTTTCAAAAATACAGAGAGAATCTTATCTCTCTTTTTGTTTCTTGCAAACTTTTTTTTTTTAATTTTGGTGTTCTGTTTCAAAGATCATAATGTTGGGGATTGGATGATGATGATGAGTGTGTTAAGAAACAGGCTTTTGTCCTTATCTATAAAACATTATATGCTTTCTGTTGGCAGGTCTCCGTTACCAAATTGGTTTCTTTAATCAACTTCTTTCATAAAGTATTTTATTTGAAGTCTTCAATATCTGTGACCTGTCAGAGCCAACATTATTTCCAATTATCTTATGCTAATTATGAACACAATTAGGGAATAGGGAAGAAGATTCTCTCTTCATTATCGATTCTATACTAAATTAGTACTAGTTTTCTATCCTTTTCAAATTTAAGTATGATTTTAGACTAATCCATTTGTTTCGAAAAATGTCACTTTTATAATTGCAATGTTGATTTCAAAAAAAATCTAATTTGTCCATAGTAAAAATAATTATTAATAAATGTATAAAAAGAAACTCAAAATTATTTGACGTTTCGTCTTAAAAATCTGGATAAATTAAATACATAAATCTATGTAACGCTCTAAACAAACTCTTACATATTAACGGTGTTAATTTTTTGACGGAAACTATAAAACACAGTTGTTTTTTTTTTTTTTTTTTGGTAAAATCCGCTGTGGCCAGGAATCGAACCCTGGTGGCGGTACTCACAGCTGTGAGCCCTTTACCACTAGACCACGACCGTCTGGTTCACAGTTGTTTTGTTCATTAGTTTGATTGTGATTTTTTTCTAATGTATCAAAAAAAGTAAAAAAGGTTTATTATTGAGTACGATGATATGGTTAAATTTCATGGTATTATAGGGTTGCTGAGATAGTTGAGTTAGAGTTTAATTGTTTATAGATGAGCATTTGTATATATTTAGAGTGTTTCTAAAATCAAATACTAGTAGTACTTATTATAAGGCCTTTTAACATTTCATCTGCAGTAAAGTACCTCATCCAAAGTCCACGGGCAAATTTCACGAGTCACAATAGTCAACGTAACAAGAATTAATTAAGAAGATTAGTTAAATTAGTAATTGTACTTTTTAACATTTCAGAAGTTTGTACGTTTTCTATTGAGTATAGTGGATAATCCCTTATTAAATTAATCCCCTTGAATAATCAAATACAGATGTAATGTTTTGAACGTGACGTTGATTGTGTTGAGAGCTGAGATACGTAACTCCTCAACAAAACCCTACGTTTTCGTTAAACTATTACTTTTGTTTTGAATCATTGCTGTTCGCGTGGACAACAAACTAATCTCGCTCTCACAGGCTCCAGCAAGAATCTTTCTCAGCCTTCAAATTCCAAACGAATATTATATTAATTTTAAATTTTGTAGATTTAATATTTATTGGCAACTAGCTAGCTAGAAGATGAATTCAACACCATGGTGTCACCAAACATAATTTATATATGAAGCTAACATGAAGAAATAGCCGATACCGTTTACTCTATTGCTACAATGATTTCTAACTATATGTAGATTTAGAAATTATAGATCGATTTTATCAATTAAAGCCTTCTTTGTTTAATATTAAATCCAAAAGCATGTTTTTTTCACCGTGAGGTTTTTGTAAAAAATGTAGAATCGTATAAATTAAAATAAAAAACATTGATTGTCTTATGAATATATTAATGCCACTAATTAAAAATTGGGTTCTACAGAATATATACTAAAGTATTATTCTGGTTAGTTGCTATTGGTCGTAATGATCATATTAATTCAAAGTAGATGAACAACCCATATTTATTAAGTTAAAGAATGGGAATTTGGAATAATTCGTACCCTAATTTTCAATTCAAAAATATCATTCAAGGATTTAAAGTTCTACCTAATGGTTCCATTGACTATATCGACCACAAACATATATATAAAACAAAATATGTTATGAATTTCAGTGCAAAAGTATAAACTCGTATAACTAAAACGACCCGAATAGATAAATTAGCTAAACTGAATAGTCAAAGGTTTATGGTAAGGACTAGTTTAAGGACTAAGGAGATGTTGAGGACCATCGACCACCAACCACCAACTCCATTATTGTTAGTCGTAATTTCTAAAGTCATTTTGTCTAGATGAGTTTCTTGCGAGAAAAGGCATCTTGTGAAGCTTGAGTTTCTTGCGGAATTAAAGGTATCCTGTGAAGCTGCTTAGCTCACTTGCAGCAAATTCACATGTTCAAGTCTATATAAAAGATATAGTCTTCACCTAACGTTAGTATAAAAATGGGTTAAAACCAAAAACCCCATATCAAGTTTCATAATGTTGACAAAACAATCCAGCTGTAGTCTCCAGAACCAATCTTTGTACCAATCAAAGTTTGCAACTTTCTTGTTCACTTGGGTGATGAGTCTAATACTGAACCGTGTCTAATCACCATGCATGACACGTTATTAAAGAGGACTACCTCCTTATAACTTTTGCTTATATAATCCTAATGAAAAATCATGAGTCTTCTCATACCTCATTATAAGTTATTTCAAAACAAGAATGGAGCTTGAGATCACAGTGACTTCTCAGGTTCTCGTCAAGCCCTCTTCTCGAAATCTTAATCATCTTCCTTGCCATCATCTCTCTTTCCTTGATCAGCTTGCTCCACCTATCTTCATGCCTTTCCTTTTCTTTTACCATAACAAGACAAATCTCTCAGACAAAGAACGAAGTGATCACTTCAAGAGTTCCTTGTCAGAAATATTGAATCTCTATTACCCCTTGGCAGGACGCATCAAGAACCCGGGTGATGTTGTTGTATGTAACGATATGGGTGTGTCTTTTGTCGAAGCCAAAGCCGATTGCAACATGTCACAGATTCTAGTAAACCCTAATCCCAATGAACTCAACAAGTTTCTTCCATTCAAGTTTCATGAAGCGAGTGACGTGCCTCTAAGGGTACAGGTCACTTTCTTTGAATGTGGCGGCTTAGCACTCGGAGTAGGCCTTTCTCATAAACTCTGTGATGCCTTGTCCGGCCTCATCTTCATCAAAAGTTGGGCAGCTTTTGCTCGTGGTGACACTAATGAAATCATTACTCCTTCTTTCGATCTCGCCAAGATGTTTCCGTCCTGTGATATGGAAAATCTAAACATGGCTACAGGTATCACAAAGGAGAACGTAGTAACCAAACGCTTTGTGTTCTTGAAATCCTCTGTTGAGTCTTTAAGAGAAAGATTCAGCGGAAACAAGAAGATTCGCGCCACACGTGTTGAGGCCTTATCGGTATTCATATGGAGCCGTTTCATGGCTTCAACAAACCAAGATGATAAACCCGGAAAGATCTATACATTGATTCATCCAGTGAACTTGCGTAGACAAGCAGATCCGTATATACCAGACAACATGTTCGGGAACATCATGAGGTTCTCTGTTACTGTCCCTAAGACGATAATCAATGAACATGATGAAGAAAAAGCTTCTCTTGTGGAGCAGATGAGAGAGGAGATTAGAAAGATTGATGCAGTGTTCGTGAAGAAACTTCAAGAAGATAACAGAGGACACCTAGAGTTTCTTAGCAAACAAGCTTCAGGTTTTGTCAATGGAGAGATTGTGTCGTTCAGCTTCACGAGCCTCTGCAAATTTCCGGTTTATGAAGCAGATTTCGGATGGGGGAAACCTTTGTGGGTTGCCTCTGCAAGAATGAGCTACAAAAATCTTGTAGCGTTCATTGATACTAAGGAAGGTGATGGCATTGAGGCTTGGATCAACCTTGACCAGAACGATATGTCTAGATTCGAAGCCGATGAGGAGTTGCTTCGCTATGTCTCCTCAAACCCAAGTGTGATTGGCTCTGCATCTTGAGAAACAAGTAATCTATAAGTCGTTTCTAATGAGTTTGAGTTTGTTTTCCTTTTAACTTTGTCAATCAGATTTCATTCTCTTCTTGTGCTTAATGCATTATTTTATACCTTTGCCATGAAATTGTATCTAGATCTATGTTTGGGTTGAATCTATTGTGCCTAACAAGATTTTGTGTTCTCTCTTAGTGTCTCTAAATCTATTTCTCTGTAAGAAGTATGCAATGAGTTTTGTTCTTGTTTAAGAAGCAGCAAAACTTTGAACCAACCCATATAAATCTCTTGGAAGAAGTATGCAATGATTTTTGTTCTTGTCTAGATTAAAACAGGGGGATTCAGGGAAGCTGATTCAAGAAGTTCTTGATCACATTCGAACAGCGACATGTGTTCTTCTGTAAGAGTGATCCAAGCTTCAATTCCTTCTCCATCTTTGGTATCAATCAACAACATCAAGTTCTTGAAATTGGAAGTGCCTCTTCCGGTCACCCAAACCGGCTTTCCCCATCCGAAATCGGCCTCGTACATGCCGAGCTTACACCAGCTATTACTCATCCACAAGTCCACCTCAGTTTCTCTTCCATGTACTTTCCTAATCTCTTCCAAAAGCTCAAAAATTCTCGACGAGGATTTCGACTTCTCCTTGCAATTCAAGCTGAAGATTTCCTTTGCCCGTCTTAGCTCATCAACCACATCTTGAATTCTATCTATCTTAGCTTCTTCGTTCTTGAGAATTATGAGGGAAAGCATATTCCCAATTGTGTTTTCACACAAAGAATCTACCTTTCCTCGTAGGCTCACTAGTATCTGCAGCACCGAAGTTCTTGGTGTTGGAGAACTCGATCTTGAAGCCTTAGTAACGCATCTCCAATACAGAGCTGTGACGGCTTCAACACGGGTAGGATTCTTGACAAGGTTGCTTGAAACTTCGGCTCTGAGTTTCTTGATTTTTGAAGCATCAAACACAAACCTCTTTGTCACACAACTCATCTCTTCAACCTCGACTTTGCGATCCATCGGTTTTGAGGGAAGCTCATCAATAGGTAGAGGAAAGAACTCCGCAGCAGTGAAACTAGGAATCAAAGTAATCCCCAAACCTCTTGAGGACTCAGACCATCCTCTGATGAACATGGCTAAAGAGGTTGCATCAGTGATCTTATGAGAAATGCAAATTGTGATAACTAATCCTCCGCAGCTGAAGAAACTGGCTTGGATTAGCAAGACAGGCCATGTCACTGCCTCTCTTGACTTGGCTTCAACAGGAATGAGTAGTTCCAATGATTCAGGAACAGGGCACTTGAGAAACTCCGAGAGAAGATGGTCAACTCGAGCTTCTATAAACACAGCTCCTTCATCATTACATTCGACGAAACTTCCTATGATTCTTCCGGCAAGAGGGTAGAAGATTGGTAAAGTTTCAGACAGAGATTTCTTGAGCTTCAAGGATGTCTCCTCTGATTCAAAACCTAAAAGGTTTTGAGGATCCGCTGCGTAAAAGAGAAGTGCTCCTGTGTACATCGGTGAGCTGAGTACATCAAGAAGAGAGAGATTGAGAATTCTCTTATCATTTGGAGTTGGAGAAGACGGTTTGATTATTTCTCTTGATAGGATCTCAACTTTCTTCTCCATTATTACAAACAAAGTTTTTTCTTCTTAACTTTCTGATAGAACCAGACAAACGCTCTTAAAATAACTTCAATGAAGATTCTTGGTGAGAATAGCTACATATTCCTGCATCACAAAAGACCATTCATATTATTTATCATTAATTCATTGTCATCAATGATGACTCATCATCATCATCATTATATTAATACTTAGATTACATTCATATTAAAGATTCTAGTGGTGTGGGGACCAACAGTTCAAGATTCTCAGGAGACAAAATTTTATTTACTCAATCTTTAAACTCTTGTCTTAACACAGATCGAAACAGAGTATAGTTAATGAATTGCATTGATTTTAAAACCTTAACGGGTTCTTTGATTCTACAAAAAGTTAGTGATGTTGACATTTTTCCTTTCTAGGACTTGATAGCTAATTGCAATGGCCTTGACTGTTTGCAGATTCTGAAGTGGTTTTTTGATTTTGCAAAAACCAATTTGTTACCCATTCAAGGTTATGATTGCAATTTTTCTAAAATGAATCCATTATCCAACATCTCAAACCTCTTTTTTTTCTGTTGATCGTTAATGTAAATGTCAAACCTTTTTTTTTTTGTATGAATAAATGTCAAACTTTTCCTTCGCGTTTAAGTATTTTTAAAAAAGCTATAGAGTTTTACAATTTAAAGGTATTTTCTTTTGAACATCTCACTTTGCTTGTGGTTTGCATCCGGATGGTGACTTGGCATTAGCATAAACTACTTAGCTATATGGCATGGTTTATGAATTTTGTGAGTGGTTTATTCGTCGGTAAACCCTGCATGTTGCTGATTTTAGTAAACTAGGATAGTGATATGTTGTATTTTATCGATTTTGAATCCTTGTTTCTTGCCTAGACTTCTTTTACGAGTGTTTAGCGCCAGCTAAGTTTTCTGTCATTTTACAAACTCAAAAACACCTTTAATAAAACAAAAACACAATTCCTGCAGGTTGCTATTAAATTCTCACCAGCAAAAAAGATAAAGAACCAAAACGATGGCTCGACACAATCAACCGCAATCAACAAACTTTCTAAATGTTAAAGATTTAACAATTACAATCAGAAGAATGGGTAAAAGAGAGAAGCATAACTTAATGGATTAATCACAAGGAACAGATGAATCAATAACTCTTTCGTAACTAAACAAATAACCTAATGATCACTTATCAGATTTCTTGCGAAGTTTCATCCATTTGAAGCCAAGTATGGCCTTCCCGATACCGCTTTTGCTTCCATCTTCCTTCTTCTTCTTTTTCTTATCGTCTTCGTTACTTGAATTTGGAGGAGGATCAGAGTTGTAATCCCATTGATCAGCCCATGATAGTCCCGAATCCATCTTCAATTCGTCTCTCCTTCAAGATTTTGTGGAATGAAAAGGTTTAGCTAGAGACAAATATGAGGTGAAAGAAAGATTTAGTTTTACTTATTATAGACAGTATTGGTTTGACACAATGTCTATAAGTTTCTTGGTTGCTTATTTTGGGGTTTATCTGTTTTTAGTTGTGTCCCTTTGGTTGGACAAAGAATCAATATCACTCGCCTTTGACTGTGTAACCCCTTCAACAAGAAAGGAAACCCCTTACCTGAAACACTTGAATTTCTTTTAGTAATCAAAATATTCTTTTAATCAATTTATCATTTGATGATATGTTGATAACTATAAACTTCAAACCTAATTTCTCTTTTACATTTTAGTCAACATTTTCAAAGGATAGTTGAGTACACTAATTACTGTTGATAATAAATGACATACAATTTTTTTGGTAGATTCGTTAGAGCATGGAATAGATTACCAATTTTTGTTTATTATCAAAAGAGATGAATGGATCATTTAGACGCTCTAATCATGCATTTATGCTTCAACAATTTCAGTTTTTCTTGATAGATATCACGGGATGCAAGTGACTCCAAGCATAAATAGATACGTACGTTTCATTGTAGCCTTATGACTCTTTCGTACCCACAGCTTTCATGGGACCTAGCGTAAAGGTTGAATTCATTGACATTGTAATATTGTGTATAAGATGAAAAAGGGACATAAATAGATATAGATTTGTTAATTTATGATTTTATCCTAGTCTAACACAAGATTTTGGGTATCTAACCGGTCTTGGGATTATTATGGATAATATTACGCTACTAACCAAAATTTTATCGATCGATTCACATCTTTGTTAGACTAAAATTTTGGATACCGTTTGAACAGGTCATAATCTACATTGTATGTATACTTTATTTTAGTGTGGTAAATTCTAATCGAATCTTGGTATTAATTTTACTAATTGTTTCTTTTTTAGCGTATGGTTAGGGCACACGCAGTGGTATACCCAAACATGGGGTGTGAGTAATTTAAAATTGAGAAATAATGCAAATGTTGCTTTAGAACCAACACACGAGTGTTAAGTTACACTCGGGTGTGAGAGGGGGTGAGAGCCACGTGTCATGAAGGGGTTGGTCGGCGGACAGAGAGAGGAGAGAGAGAGAGATTTATTTTTTTAATTTTTCCAGCCACTCAAGCCTCGCCACCTGTGCCTTACACCCGACGAACACAAGTTGCTATTTCACATCCGTTTCTTGTATCCTCACCCTCAATTTTATTATTTTGGTTTTTTTAAATACTCACACCCAAGCTACACCTACGCCATTGTGTATGGTCTTAGTAGAGAGTCGAGTTTTTACGGTGGACTTTTGATGATTAGTATTGACGTTTGTAAACTGGCAACATTTTTTTTTGGTTTTGTTGTGTTTAATATATTTTGTGTTGTTTTAAGCTACCATCGGATTGACTTTTTTCAGTGTTGAAAGTTGAAACCAATCATTTCTCTCTTTTTTTTTTTTTAATTTATATATAATAAGATTTCAGTTAATCTCATCCTAGATGCCTATGTTTCGCATGTCTCAGTTACGATCACGGAACAAGGATTGATTTTGGCTTATCAATTGGTACCTTTTATATTTCTATTAATCTAAATATGCATATGTTACTTATCTTAATTGGTTCTTCAATTATATAGCCAGTTTGTAAGGTGTTATGGCTCACGATCGGTCCGATTTCAAAGTCGATTTTCAGATACGGTGGCGTCGGCGAAGAAAGTTTGCGGTCGGATTTCATTACTTGGATGGACCGCCCAGAAACCAAAACCGGCATCACTGTACCGTTTATGGCACCTTCTGTCGACTTTTTATGTCTGTTTATCTTTGATTAGCGTTTTCTGTGAGATTTTTTTTTCTTTTTTTAATTCGGCGTTTGTATCTTCGATGTTGCGGTTAGGGTTGCTAGACGGTGGTGGAAGTGAATCGTACCCAGCGACCATTTGTATATATTACTTAAGAACGAAGTTGGTAATCAACCCTCTTTTTCTCTCTCTGGCTTTGATAAAATGTCTGCCTTTTTCTTTCTGCTTTCTACGTGTTTTAATTTATTTTGATGGAGTATTTTTGTTAATTGGTGAAAAGTAGTTTACCAGATATTTCAGACGCATTATTGAATCTATAATATGATATCACTAATTCGATGGCCCTAAAAAAGGGGTAAAAATTTAGGGTTTTGGTTTTCTCTCTGTTAAATTCGATTTTTTGTTTGCCTCTTTTATGATTTTGTTGCTTTAGTTTCTGTTTGATGTCATGACGTTTCGTGGTTTTGATTTACAGTGTAAAAAAAAAGAAGAGATAAAGCTAGCGAAACGTCACTACGAGCAAGATTTGGTTGGAGTTCTCATCAATCTTTAGGACGATGTCTACGTCACGACATTTAGCATCTTGAGATTTTCTTGATTAATGCAATGCTTATCGTCAATCTCTGTTTAGATTTACGTGCCAACTGAAGTCAGAGTATTTGATACTTTGGTAATAGGACTTTTGCAATGTTGCATTTCGTATAAATGCAAGTCCGAGGATTATCGTCCTCAACATTTGAGAAAAACACTCTATCTTTTTGCCAAGATTCACAAGTTCAATCACCTAGGGAATACAAAGAACACACATGAGAGACATAAATAATATTAAAGAATCTAATCATTAATTAGTACTAAAGAAGCAAGGAGCAATAGTCATTAATACTAAATAATCTAGTAAACTCAAAACATAATAACATCTCACAGTATCATCTAGTATGTAGAACCATCGAACCCGAAAGTAAGACTCCCCATCATCATCTTCAAACATTTCAATAACCTTTGCAGTATAATTCGGGTTCCTAGGTTCACCATGCGTGATAATTACATAAGGATCAGTTGAATTCTCTAACGCATAGCACCACAAATGTAGCAACATAAAATTACAGAGATTGATGTTTATAAGCTAAGGTTGATTAATTGGAAAGAAGATAAGAATGACCATGGAAAAGCAAGGCATCTCTAGAAGCTAATTTAGTATTTGAAAGCAACATTTGAAAATTAAACAATATTTGTACTATAACATTAACATGGCAAAATTGCAACTGAGATTGACAATAATCAAAGAAAAAAACTCAACACTAATAGAGAATAAATTTTAAAGAGAGATTGACAATAACCATAGAAATTGTGCCAACATCACATCTCAACAGAACACAAACTTTGTTTAGATTTATGCTGCTATAGTTTGTGTTCTGTTGAGATGTTATGTTGGCATAGTTTCTATGGTTATTGTCAATCTCTCTTGAAAATTTGATTGTCTATTAGTGTTGAGTTTTTTCTATGATTATTGTCAAGCTAAGTTGAAATTTTGCCATGTTAATGATATAGTACAAATATTGTTTAATTTTCTGATGTTCCTTTCAAATACTGAATTAGCTTCTAGAGATGTCTTGCTTTTCCATGGTCATTGTCGTTTTCTTTCCAATTAATCAAACTTAGCTTATAAACATCAATCTCTGTAATTTTATGTTGCTACATTGTGGTGCTATGCGTTATAGACTTCAACTGATCCTTATGTAATTACTACACAGGGTGAACCTGAGAAACCAAATAATATTGCAAAGGTTATTGAAATGTTTGAAAGCTGATGATGGGGAGCCTTACTGTCGGGTTCGATGGTTTTACAGACCAGATGACACTGTGAGATGTTATTATGTTTTGAGTTTTCTAGATTCTTTAGTACTAATGACTATTGCTCCTGCTTCTTTAGAACTAATGACTAGATTCTTAGTATAGTATTTATGTCTCTCATGTGTGTTCTTTGTATTCCCTAGGTGATTGAAAGACTTACGAATCTTGTGCAAGAAAATAGTGTTTTGATCAAATATTGAGGACGATAATCCTCTTACTTGCATTTATTCGAAATGCAACATTGCAGAAGTCCCATTACCAAAGTATCAAATACTCTGATTTCAGTTGGCACAATGTATAAAAAGTTTGGTGATTTGGCTTATGAATGTATTTATCTAGACTAATTAACATCATTGTTGTCTATTCTCAAACAGTTGGAAGCTCTCATTGATGTTTTTAGTTTCTTGTTTTAGGTCTTGGTAGGTTTCATAATATAAGCTGCATAGCTTCCAGAGAGAATGGGACTATGGGAGAGCACGTGTCACGTTTGTCAGGTATTCATTCGATTATCAACCAGAGAGATGGCATTCTTGGTTTAATTGTATTTTGGTGTTTCTCTAATTAAATTAATCAGCTCCGGTTTAATAACTAAACCAAACCAAAACTACTAATTTAATAGCACCACGATTCAACCCTTGATTTTGATTCGATAATATAATCCCAACTCTCTATCATACGATTAAATAGGATTAATTAAGTTCTTCCGGTTTAGAGATTAAACCATTCCAATCTAATAATTCTACAATCACAACCATGTGACCACTCCTCCAACACCACGGTTTTGGTTCAGTAGTCAATTTCAATTCACCACATTAATTAATATTAACAAAACAAGCATCCACTTCTACGAATACCACAAGCCAATTACGATTATTACGTTCAGTTAATGGACTCAATTACACGTGGGATCCCATGGTTTAGACTGGTTTAGGCTCTCGGTTCAATAATCACAACAACACACATGACACGAGACAAAGAATTGCCGGATTACCTTTCTCGGCTAGCTTTCTCGACGGATCTGCTACGGCTCGACAAGGCGGTTCAAGTTCACGGTGGTTAGGTCCTCATAACTCAATCACAAAACAAAACAAGGCAACAGATCAAAATACAATCACAGAAACTTCCCGCACAAGTTACTGTAGGGTTTCCTTACTATTAAAGGCCTCGACGATGGACCATGACTGCTCCGGTGACGGCAGGTGACATCCGGTGACTAGTGGTGGTAAACTCCGGTGACACACGTTGGCTGGGTGGTTCTCCAGCGGTGGCCTCCTCTTTCTTCTTCTACTTCTCTCAATTTTGAGGGAATTATACCCACATCTTTATCTAATAAATCACAAGTAAATTTTCAAGTAATTGCAACATCCTCCATATGACACCTGGCTTAAGTTCCAATTTTTTATCTTTCAGATTTTAAAACAATTAAATTTTAATTATCCTTAAATAAAATCTTTATCTAATAAATCACAAGTAAATTTTAAAGTAACTGCAACATCCTCCATATGACACCTGGCTTAAGTTCCAATTTTTTATCTTTCAGATTTTAAAACAATTAAATTTTAATCTTTATCTAATAAATCACAAGTAAATTTTCAAGTAACTGCAACATCCTCCATATGACACCTGGCTTAAGTTCCAATCTTTATCTAATAAATCACAAGTAAATTTTCAAGTAACTGCAACATCCTCCATATGACACCTGGCTTAAGTTCCAACTTTTTATCTTTCAGATTTTAAAACAATTAAATTTTAATTATCCTTAAATAAAATCTTTATCTAATAAATCACAAGTAAATTTTCAAGTAACTGCAACATCCTCCATATGACACCTGGCTTAAGTTCCAATTTTTTATCTTTCAGATTTTAAAACAATTAAATTTTAATCTTTATCTAATAAATCACAAGTAAATTTTCAAGTAACTGCAACATCCTCCATATGACACCTGGCTTAAGTTCCAATTTTTTATCTTTCAGATTTTAAAACAATTAAATTTTAATCTTTATCTAATAAATCACAAGTAAATTTTCAAGTAACTGCAACATCCTCCATATGACACCTGGCTTAAGTTCCAATTTTTTATCTTTCAGATTTTAAAACAATTAAATTTTAATTATCCTTAAATAAAATCTTTATCTAATAAATCACAAGTAAATTTTTAAGTAACTGCAACATCCTCCATATGACACCTGGCTTAAGTTCCAATTTTTTATCTTTCAGATTTTAAAACAATTAAATTTTAATTATCCTTAAATAAAACAAAAAATAAATGTCGAGAAAACCTTTCTCCCACAACCGCATCCCCTTTTTCTCCCACGATTTCAAAATCGATCTCCACTTCTCAACAATGGAACTACAAAAAGGTTTCAGATCTCTCAAAATCAATATTCCTTTCATACTACTTCTCACCCTTATTCCCCGATTTCTGAGATCAAAAACCAATGATTTCTCAATTTCTCAATCAATTGAACGGTGTTATTCATTAGAACGGTGTATTTCTCAATTTCTCCCTATCTCTACTGAGCTTCCGTCGTTTGATTTGAATCAAAAGTAAGCTTTTCAACTATTTTAGATTATGAACCAAAAACCATCACTCTAATCTTCTCCAACCTCATCTCAATCAAAGTATACTCCGCTGGAGAAGTTTGGGCTATCATACAAAAAGCTTTTAGATCTCTTCCTTTTCTGATTCGTGTTTCCTCCAGCTCTAATCGGGTAAAATTTTTTAATTTCTTACATGTTCTGATTTTAGGGTTCATCAATAGAATCTCTCTTCTAACTGCAAGCACTACTTCTATATCAAAATCTTTCAATATACAAATTCTATGTTCGAATTTCTCAATTTTGGTTTACTTTGTCATCATCGTTTTTAATGCCCATCCAATTTTCTATTTCATGTGTTGTTGTGTTCTTATCACTTGTACAAACTCTCATGTAAATTTTAATGTATTCACAGTCTTTACTAATTTTATAACAACTCTGTTACAAGTTTTACGTTTAGTTTTGAAACAGGGAAGTAGGATACAAGCTTCTGTAAAAGAGAAATTATTGAGCCGTCTCTCTTGAAATTTCCAGCATTGGACGAATATAAAACAATAACCTCAAATCTCTCTGGTTTGTTTTCTCTTCTCTGCATGTCTTAGATGAGTGGGTATCTGATTTTGTGTGCATGAAACCTTTCTTTTACTTTTCACAAAACCTTTGTTTTCCTTACTTTTACTCATCTTCCGTTCTCAGTTTCACTAACTTGAAGATATATGGTTGTGTCAGGATGGCAAAAACATTGAAGGTGACGGTTTAGCGTCAGCCTTCGTGGTGCCTGTGTGAGGGAGTTCACCAATATGACGTTAACTTCCCATGTGACGGATCTTTACCCGCTAAGTTTGGTCCACCTAAACGCCGGTATGATATCATCAAATCTTTGGCTATGCTTTGGTGAATTTAGAAGACGAGAGTTTGGAGAATGAAGTTTGGAATATAATTTCGTATAGAAGCAACACAAAAATGAAGTTTTGAAGTCTTGCAATTCAAAAGAAAAGAAAAAAAAAACAATCTGAAAGATGGGTGCATGATGTGGAATCATCTTCCACGGTGAAGTGTGAAGAATTTAAACGTGCAATCATCTAATATATATGTTCAAGATCCTTTTGAGTAAGATATACAATATACAAAGGTAAAGGGCTTTTGTTTGTTCGATCGCTCATTTATGTCTTACAATACGTTTGCGTATTTATGTAAGACCCTTGGCAATTTCATAATGCAATGAATGTTTCCTCAAAATTTTGTCGCTCATATGTGACGATTTGGTAATATTATGATACAGCTTTGGATGTAACGATTTAATCCTACTGTTTCACTTTCTCAATCAAACCAAAAATATCATTTATATCTAATTTAATTTCATTCACTTAAAGTTATGAATTAAACAAACTTACGTACAAATTAAGTTTAATAAAACTAAAATGTATTTTTGATATTGGTCATTGGTGTTATACTTACACATTTTGAATGAATAAAATCTACAAATTGGTGGTGTTCTCCCCGTGCAACGCACGGGCTATAACTAGTATATATCCTTGTTTGAAAAATCGCTATGCGCTAGTCGGGCGTTCGGCATGGGCCTAGCGATTAATCGGAAAATCGGATTAAAATCGGGGATTAGTTTTATGGTTATTTTAATATTTTTAAAATATATTAATTCAATATTGTTTTCAAAATTACAGTAAAAACAAATTTTTATGATTTTTATTAAAATTTGAACACAAGTTATGTAAAACATCACAAACTCCCAATTCAAATGATTGAATAACAAAAATAAAATGTTTTTTTTATACTTGTAATCTAAAAAATAATCGGGGTATGTAAGATTAGGCGGGAAATAATCGGATTAGGCGGGAAATAATCGGATTAGACGGAGAATAATCGGGTTACTGATTTTTTAGGGGATTAGTCATTAATCGAGGCGGAGAGGGTGGGCCTAGCGATTAAGCGGGGAGTAATCGGGGCTAGGCGGGAATTTTAAATTTTTAGAACAGGGGTATATATATATTCACGAATACATGCATCACTAACAAAACCCTTTTTTCATTTGTTATGTCAAATGAGCCTTTAATGGGCTTGGCTCCTCTTTTGACAAAACCAAATGGCCCAACTACCAATTATTGAATTGGGATGTTACAAATATCCTTTTAACAACAAGCCGTTGCAGAATAATGGTGGGAGAATTCTGTGTTTTCAGAGCTTTTGGAAAAGTAATAATGAAATAAACAGAGGTGATTGATTAATGGGCATTACCGATTAGCGTGGTAAGTTTTATACACCACATGTTTTGATATTTGTTTAAAAAGTTAGATGAACAGCTTTATTGACGTCAATGATCTCCTTCAGCATTGAAAATTTGGAATGTCTATGATAAGAAAGATGATCCACGTTGATCATTGCTCCAGAGGGTCTTCTCTCTGTATGGGATAAAAAGATGTCCGTTTCATTGTAGCCTTATGAAGAAAAATAAATTATGCATTTATGTTAGTGACTCTAAGCATAAATAGATAAATTATGCATAAATGCGCTTCAATAATTTTAGTTTTCTTCATATATATCACGGGGTACAATTGACTTTTTTTTCCTCGTGGGGTACAAGTGACTCTAAGCATAAATAGATATTTCCGTTTCATTGTAGCCTTATGACTTTTGGTACTCACAAGTCACAACTTTCATGGGAACCTAGCTTAAAGGTTGAGTTCATTGACAATGTAATATTGTGTATAAGATGAAAAAGGGACATAAATAGATATAGATTTGTTAATTTATGATTTTATCCTAGTCTAACACAAGATTTTGGGTATCTAACCGGTCTTGGGATTATTATGGATAACATTACGGTTTGATTCTCTCAAAACTATCCAATATTATCCAGATGCAAGTTATGTTGATTCTCTCAAAACTACATCCAATATTATCCAAATGCAAGTTATGTTTTGTTACAAACGTATTAAAATAAAATATTTTATCCAGTTAACAATTTTTCTTTTTTAATCTGATCTTGATTATAAATGTTTCAAAATAATTATTTATTAAAAAAATATATCAGTGTTAAAAAATAAAATAAAAGACAAAATATTTTTCTTGTATAATTTTTAATATTGATTATTAATATTTTCAAACTATATATTTAAATTAAATATTATATCCGAAGAAATATTATGTAATGTTGAATAATTACCTGTAGTACAAGTTAAAAAAAAAAATCAAAATAGTTATTTTTCTGTCGGTCAACTCAAAATAATTACTAAATGAGAAAGATATATATTTATCTATTGAATAAACATTATTTTCTTTTTAAAAGCGAAACACTCGTTAGATCAGGTGACTATGAAAAGAAAAATTCAGCTCTATCCCAAAAAGAAAATAAATCATGCAAATACAGAAGAAAATAAATCTACGAAATTACAGAAAAGCCATGCCAATGTGAAGAGAATCATTGAATCAAGAAGAACGATTGGGGGTAAATTAGTCATTAATTTGGTCTAAGCATGAAACAGCTTCCAGCCGATGGTGCCTTATGCCACGGGCAAAAAAAAAGACCAAACACGCTAAACAAAACTAACAAACAAAGTAACAAACATTCCCTTCAAATTCGGAAAATGAGAATCTCATAATCTATTTATTACACTCCCAAAAACGCTAACAAATCGTTGAATAGAATAATTAAGCAGGTAATTAAATCCTAAACCGTGAGAGAATCTCGAATCTCGATCCTCTCTTAAATATCAGTCTTATCTTCATCCTCCTAAAATCTTCTTAATTGTCTCTCTCTCTCTCTCAAAAACCAAACACTATCTCTCGAGTATCACAAGGAGATATGGGGAATAATGAAATGTCAGCCAGCGAGGTTGCGGCGGCTAGGCAGAAGAACGTCGACGATTGGTTACCGATCACATCCTCCAGAAACGCTAAGTGGTGGTACTCTGCTTTTCACAATGTCACCGCCATGGTTGGTGCTGGTGTTCTCAGCTTGCCCTACGCTATGTCCAATCTCGGATGGTACTATTTGTTGAATCTGATAGTCTCCTTTATGTTTCAATCCATGATCTGATCTGAGTTTTTGATTACAGGGGACCTGGTGTGACGATTATGGTGATGTCATGGTTAATAACTATGTACACACTGTGGCAAATGGTGGAGATGCATGAGATTGTTCCAGGGAAGAGGCTTGATAGGTATCACGAGCTAGGTCAACACGCTTTTGGCGAAAAGCTTGGCCTATGGATCGTCGTGCCGCAGCAGCTTATCGTGGAGGTCGGTGTGGACATCGTTTATATGGTCACAGGAGGAGCATCCCTTAAGAAAGTCCATCAACTACTCTGTTCCGATTGCAAAGAGATCAGAACTACATTTTGGATCATGATCTTTGCTTCCATCCATTTTGTTATCTCTCACCTTCCCAATTTCAACTCTATCTCCATCATCTCACTCGCCGCGGCTGTTATGTCCTTAACGTAAATCTCTTTACCACACACATATATTGGTTTTCTTTTATAACTTGATTAGAAAGTTAGACTAATCAAACCTAGAGCTAGCTTGCCTTGTGGTTCAAGGCTAGGGATCAAATTCCACTATGGTTCCCATAACATGTAGAAAACTAGGTTTTATTCCAAATTGATTTTTAAGATCTCTTTGTGATGCATTTACAGTTACTCAACTATCGCTTGGACTGCTTCGGTGCACAAAGGGGTACATCCAGATGTGGACTACACTCCTAGAGCCTCTACCGATGCTGGAAAAGTATTCAACTTCTTGAATGCGTTGGGAGATGTGGCTTTTGCCTATGCAGGTCACAACGTTGTGTTGGAGATTCAGGCCACAATCCCTTCGACTCCGGAGATGCCATCCAAGATCCCAATGTGGAGAGGAGTTGTTGTAGCCTACATTGTAGTCGCCATCTGCTACTTCCCTGTAGCATTCCTCGGCTATTATATCTTTGGAAACAGCGTTGATGACAACATTCTCATCACTTTGGAGAAGCCTGTCTGGCTTATTGCCATGGCTAACATGTTCGTGGTTGTCCACGTCATTGGAAGCTATCAGGTCTTCTTCCACATTCTAGTAGTACTTCTTTTATTATTCGAATGAAGTAAGAATAATCTCATGAATATTGACACTCTCTATGTGGATTAATCAGATATTTGCAATGCCGGTATTTGACATGATGGAAACCGTTTTGGTCAAAAAGATGAATTTCGATCCTTCCTTCAAGCTCCGCTTTATCACTCGTAGCCTTTACGTCGGTAAGAGTCCACTCCTCATTTTTATATATGTAACTTCATCCTCCTACTCCATCCATTAATCTCATTTGGACTGTGCAGCTTTCACGATGATCGTTGCGATATGCGTCCCGTTTTTCGGTGGACTACTTGGCTTCTTTGGAGGATTCGCCTTCGCCCCAACAACTTACTACGTATAGTACAACTAACCCTTCATTCCTTCATTGGTTTATCTATAGATTAAAGTTGTGACTTATATACACATTAATTTGTAACTGCAGCTTCCATGCATTATTTGGCTCGTTCTCAAGAAACCAAAGAGGTTTGGTCTATCTTGGACAATTAACTGGGTATGTTATTTAGTAAGCAATGATACATATTCCATAGCTCTTGTTTTTCTTGTAAATTTTAAGTAATAATTTTTGTGTGTTTGGTTTGTTGTTTTGTGGAAAATGAAAATTACAGTTCTGCATCATAGTAGGAGTTCTTTTGACGATCCTAGCCCCAATTGGAGGTCTCAGAACCATCATTATCAACGCCAAGACGTACAAGTTCTTCTCTTAGATCGATCACTTTTTGTAACCACACAAACGAAAAATAAAATCACGGCCTGTCTAATTTTATGTGACTGTCCGTGTAAGTAAATTTATGTTCTCATTTGTAGTTAAGACGCTTGATTTTATTATATATGTTTGGTTTCGTTTTGATATTAAACTCTTTTATATAATTAATCTCCATGTTCTGGTTCTTCGAATGTTGTGATTTCGTAGATTATGCAAGAACGTTCACGGGAATTTGATGACACGTCTAGATACGACAGTGCGTTTTGTTTTCTCAAATAAAATCTTTATTATTTATATAATCGGATGATTTGGATCTGTGCTTAGATTTATTTTTAATCACGGGGTTTTCACCTCTCAACAACACTCTTGATTTGAAAACGAAATATACTTTATAATACAGCATGCATGAGTGATGAGAATTATTTACTAGCTCCGTCTAGCATTCATGGTTCACGGGAATTATATTATTTTGGCTTTTCAAATATCTTTGAATTTATGCCATGTTTTTGTGTAGCTTTGTGATTCTGGTCGTAATGCCACATGTAGCCTTTTGTGGAGGAGCTACTTACTTCTAAACGGCAGACCAAGAACAAAACGTCCTTGCATCAAATTCTATCTAATAGAGAAATCGGCAATTTTGGCTACAAAAGCTCTTTGATGATTCATATTACGTAACCTTTCATAAAAATAAAAAAAGTGACGACAATACTAAAGCGGAAATAATACAAATTGCAAAGTAAATATTTGTTACCGCCACCGCGTGGACAAACCTAAATCGACAAAAAAAAAGAAGAAGGATCAGCCGCTCTCGTACCAGGAGAGACGATGGTGGCCGTTCCAGAGGACAGGGAGAAGACCAATCCGAGGAAACGATATAGGATAGTGAATGGATCCGCGGTAATATTTTTTCATCATCTACTTGTTATTTTTTTTAGAGAGATTCACGTGTCTTTTTTATCGTCACACATCCTGACCCTCTTTCTTCTCGTCGCTTCTAGGGTTCCTTACTTCGAATTCGAAGAGTACCACGCTATGGTGGAAATGAATATATCTGTAACGATGAGTCTTCTCCTTGTCCTGCCCTTAGTTATCCTTTATGCTAGGCTCGGCCTTCATCGTTACAATTTGCTCCAGGTTTTGTTAAACTCACTCTATATATGCATGATTGAATATTATACCAGGTTAGAATTCAATTAATGATTTGCTTTATTTCTTGATCAATATTAGGGGAAAAACTTAGAGCTCAGTAGCGTAAAGAAATACAACAAGTCCACGCATTCTGCTGCTTCCTCTTACCACATTACTTTGGACGCCATCGCTCTTCATCCTTTTGAGACTAAAGTTTATGAAATATCCTATGGCAAATTAGCTTTGTCCTGCCCAATTGCTAGACCTCTAGGTATATTACGTGAATTTTGTGGTGCTGCTTATACAACAAGCAACCCATCTTGCTAAATCATCATTCTCACTTAAACATTGCTGATTTTTATTCTTGTATAGGGGAAACCACCATTGATGAAATCAAGAGATGCAGCAGCAGCTTGTACAAAAACTTCTCCCCCATAGATGCCATGCCTGAGTGGCCCCCAGAGAATCCTTTTGAACATTCAAAGCTGGTAAGATTAAGACCAGTGAGTTTTGCTTTTGCTCATGATCAACAAGTAGTAATAGTAGTGAGTGATGTTTTCCATAAGCTTCTTCTTTTTTCTTTTTTTTTTGCAGCTGAACAGTTATGAGCTGCAAGACAATGACTGGATTCGTCTCTACTTGGAACTTGCAGTTGCCACGACTAATAGGGGCACCATTACAGATCATAATGATCTGTCCAACTTGAAGATTATCCAAGTGGCTATAGATACTACTCCCCAAAATGTGGATTTGGTATTAAACCGCACAAATTTTGCAATTGTCTACATACGGTACAAGGACTCGTGTGAGGCTCGAGTTGGTAAGGATGTTGATCGCGTAGCTATAGTCAGAAGAGCTTTCCATGAGCAGCTGGGATGCTTCAGTCTTGTGGGCAAGACTCTGAGTTTACCAAAAGAGTGAGCAACATTTGCTTAGCCTTATGTCTCAAACGGCAGCTGTTATCTAGTCCTAGGCGGTTTAAGGCATAGAAATACAGTGGGGGTAGCTTCTCACAAGGCAAGATCCACATTCGAATATGTGGATTAGTTTGTACATATAAAACCAATAAGTTATTTGGTGCCTTTGGAATGTTTTATCTTTTTCTTATTTTTTTACGTTTGAGTTGTATTTGGATTGTTTCTTTTGTGTGGGTTTAGGTTGTGCTTGAATAATTTAACATAGGTTTGTAGTTTTCCTTTTTGTTTTAAGATAAGTTTATTTAGATTATAAATAAAGTAAACAGTGTCCCGTTTTAGTTTCCTAGGCGTCTTCATTTTTTTGTGTACATCTGATACATTTCTGATTCAGAGGCTGCTTTGCGATTTTCTTCAAAACAAAACAAAGGGAAAGTACAAAATATTATCTGGCAAAGTTCTCTGCTCTGTTTACGAAAAAGTTGAAGTGGCCAAATACGTAGTTTAAGCAGTGAGTTTTTGATATTTCCAAACAGAAACCGCAAAATAGAAAATCCGACCAAGTGCTAGAAAGAACTCTTGTCTGTTTAACCAAATTGTTTTAACTAAACAAAAGCCGAATCATACCAAATGTCTAGATAGCAATACCTCCATCAATGGTGAATGCCTGCAAACCAATTATTTTAACCATGGTTAGGTCGCTAACATAATCAGAAACCAAGGTTAACCGCCATTTGGCAGGAGTATGAGTTACTAACCTGTCCGGTTATGTAACTGGCTGCAGGACTGAGTGCCAAGAATTCTACCAAGCCAGCCACTTCTTCCGGTTTTCCATACCGTCCTGAAAACCAAACCGTTTGGCTTTGTATCACAATTGTTTTTTATCTAACAATTTTTTGATGTCTCAGATGCATCCTAATCCATAAAAATTACCCTGCAACAAATGTAAAAGATGAAAAGTCCATTACCTAATGGGATTGTTCCCAGGATTTTCTTTTCCATGTCTTCTCCAAGCTCGGCAGTCATGTCAGATGCAATGAATCCGGGGCAAACCGCATTGACCTGGAATAGAGCAAATTGTCGACGGACCAAATTTCAAAATCATGTCGAGGAAATTCAGAAAAAAAGACGAATATGATGAGGGAGATAGATCACATACATTTATATTCCTGCTCGCACCTTCTCTGGCTATAGTCTTGGAAAACGCAATAACTCCACCTTTAGCTGCAGCGTAGTTTGCTTGACCAATATTACCAATGAGACCAACAACTGACGAGATATTGATGATTCTTCCCTGCAAGATCATAAGTAAGAAGTATACCATAAATTATCCTTGTCTTTATATCACTTCTTAATCTTATAGGATAGCTCAAATGAAAACATAGTTGTCTTTTTATATGTCATTTCTCGTTATGCTGCAGGGAAGTAGTAACATGTCAAAACCAATGACAAACGTATGAGGATATAGACGGTGACACGGCACATGACAAGTAATAATATGTGGAGACAATTGCGAGAATATGTAGAAAGTGTTACCTTTTTCTTCTTCATCATGATCTTTACTGCTGCCTAATGAGAGTAAAGAAGTTTCAGTCCCTGAGAATCCGAGTATCAAAATTTTAGCAGGATTGCAGGAATACAAACCTGAGTACAGAGAAATACACCAGTGAGATTCAAAGCAATTACTTCGTCCCATTGCGATTGCTTCATTCGTATTAACAAGGTATCCCGAGTAATTCCTGAAAATATGTAGCCATGTCAGTAAGGTACTAAGTAAAAATTAATGGGAACCAAGGTTCTCATTTACCTGCATTGTTAACCACAACATCAATGGTTCCCCATTTATCAAGAGCCTACAGAAAAAGAACAAAAGGAAAATGATAAGATGTATAAGGATTAGGGAATATGAGATGGTGTACAGTTGATCACTCACTGTTTTCATCATTGCATCCACATCAGCCGCTTTCGAGACATCACCCCCAAAAGTGATAGCCTGGCCACCATATTCTTCAATCTAGAGTCCCATAGAAAAGAAATGTCAGAGATAACATGGAGTTAGGTGACATTGTAAAAGAAAACACTATTGACTGCATATGACATTTGTTAGCTAAAAGATGGATCAAGAGCAAAATCACAAACGCATTTGAGAAGCACATGGCAAGAAGAAACAGTTTCAAGGGCCATAACATTCAATTGTTTACATTTCTTGTCCCAGAAACCAAAACTGTTTAAAGGAAATATCATCATTAAACTCTAAAGGTACCACATTTGTTTTCGTACCAATAAAAACATCCTTCCATTCCTAACACCTATGTATTATTTGGTCTAAAGCCATATCCCGAAGCAGAAAAACAAGGTAAGAGCTGAAAACCAAAGCTGATGAAAAACATTCTAAATACTTGGTGCATGAATCTCGTAAATTGCACTCTAATACAGGGCAATGAATCACCTGTTTAGAAACTTCTTCAGCCTCCTTTGCTGACCTAGCATAATTCACCAGGACCTGCAGCAGAAACAGAGTGTTTACTTCCAGATCAGAAAAGTAAGACTTATGTGTAGCAATTACGGAGATAAACCTATTGATGTCTCGATCACTATAATGACAAAAGAAACTGAAAGCAATCCTGAGCTAAAATCTTCATAACTCAAAAACTTTTAAGACTAGTAATATGATGTAAATTGAATGCTTGAAGAGTATATATAGAGATCAAATCTAACAAGAATGACTCCAAAATTCCGATAGTGTTAAGCCTAACCTTGCAGCCAGCTTTCCCCAAGGCTAGAGCAATTGCTTTACCAATCCCTCTAGAGGCACCAGTGATAACGACCACTGGAGATTCCACTTTTTGAACAACTTCGCCTGGTGATTGCTCAGTAGCAGTAGCTTGAGCTTTCACAACTGCGATCCATAAAGATGATGAGAATTGAGAGAGATCAAATCTATGTAAAACCGCAAAGGAAGAGAGAAGAGGAATGAATATACCAGAGGTTGAAAACGGCTGTCGCGATCCACATCGTAGCATTCCGAAATGAGGCATCGCAGAGTGAAGCGGAGCCCATTGTCGGACCTGAGAGATCTCACGGTAACCTAGCTTCGCGGCGGCTTTCAAGGAGACGAGTCTCGGTGCTGCGACGGCGGTGGCCATGGCGAATCGGTTGTTCAAGTGAACCTCGTAGAGATCGACCCAGCGGAGAAGAGAGAAAAGTCTTAATTTTGTCTATTTCTGCAAAACAATAGTAATATATAGATTTTCAAAAAGCGATACAAACGAAGTGTGTGAAGAAGTTATGTAGTTGGAGCTGGTGGAATTTAGGCGAGACTCGATTTCACTGATGGAGCTGGATATTATACAGTAATACCTAAGGGTAATAAAGGTAAGAACTAGGTTAGAGCCTGCGGTATTTGTGATTTGATTTTTAATATTGTTTGTGTTTTATTGTGAAACTAGATCCTGACCCGCACGTACGTGCGGGGTTGCATATTTTAAGAAATGTGCTATATAATATTTATATTCAATGAAATTGTTTTGATGGGTATGTGTGAACTATGAATTTGTGTTACCATGTTAAAACATATAAATTTATTGATGAGTGAGTATACCTTTATCAAATGTTGCAAAGAATATGTAATTTGAAAACTAGATATTAACCCGCGGTACACCGCGGGTCTATAATTTTATTAAATAATAATAAAATTAATTTTTTTTTAAGATGATCTATAGATATATGCTATTGTTTTGTTTGATTTAAATGTATGGTACACACGATATTTTATAACTAAATATTTAAAATTTGAAGTTTTATTTGTTTTGTTAATATTATTTGTTTAGTTTTGTTTAGTGTTTAAGATTGTATAGTTATATTTTGATTGTTAATTATAGGATTTCACCTGTAGTATATCATACTGTATTAATATCGACCCCAAATCCGTCCGACCATATAACTCTGTCCCGTGAAATCTACATCATTTTGTCATTTTCCAATAAAATTCAAATATTTCTAATATTCGAAACTTCATTTAATATCGACCCAAAATTCATAATAGTATTTTGATTGTTATATCTAGGATTTCACCCGTAATATACCGTCCCGATTAATATCTTTTGTAAATATTTATAATGTTTAAATTTCTTATAGATTATTATAAAATTCAACTATTTAATATTTGAAACTTTATAAAATTCCTAATATTATAAATATTTAAAACGTTTTATAAAAATAAACTTTTTTAAATGTTTAAATAATTATAATATTTTACTTTTAATAAAGTTTAAATGTTTATAATAATTTGAAACTATTTAAAAGTTTCAATAAAAAATATTAGAAAACATTAAACATGAAATACATTGGATAAGAAAATAAAATAAACATGATGTGAGTGTTAACCATATAAAACATGTAATTGTTGTAAAAGGTTTTAAAAGATTAGAAAAATTACACTTACCAACCAAAACTCGGATCCACAGGTTTTAGTAAAAGTATATATCATAAAAACAATTAAAATACATAACATTAGAATAATGAAAATTAAGAATAAGAACTTTATTTTATTAACAAATTCATTTCCTTTTTACGTTAAAGAAAAAGATTTTAATAGAATGGACTTGTTATGTTAGCCTATAAAAGAAAATTATTTACAAACATTATGAGGAAACATGAAATTATGAAAATGTAAAAAAATACTGGACATTAAAAAAAATTTGTATCTGAAGATAAGAAGAAGGACTAACTAACCTTTTAATGCATACCTTATTTGATAGTTTCTTTGGAGACGGAGTTGATGATGTCCATAATTTCCAAAGATATTAAAATCGAAAGCTGCAACATAAGAAAAGTAGGTGACAATTAATTTTTTAAAAGAAAACAAACGTGAAATATAAAATGTACTAAGAACATTGTTTAAAAGAAGCCATATAAATCTCTATTACGAAAACGTTTAGTATTGTGGATCAATGGTTGAAAAGATCTTTTTTATATAGATGAATGAAAAGTACTCGAGAAGTTTAGGTTTGATCTAAAAATTAAAACAATTTTGCAAATATTGGAAAATTAAATATTTGATTCCTAATATATTCGATTTTGTATTATCAACTGAATAACGTCTATATGCATGGTGGGATTTATGAATGAGGAAAGCTAATTAAAGATATTTCCATTTGTTTTAGGAAGTTTGTTGAATAATATCTAAACGAAACAAAAAAAATCTTTTAAAGATATTTTATGAGAAATAATATATTCGCCAATTTGGGTTGGGGATCAAGTATATAAAAATCTCGTAAATATTATATGTTATATTTATTACATATACTAATTTTCACATTGTAGTTATTTAAATCAAAGAATTTAATGAGTTAATTATGGAATACAAAATATCTATGTAAATCAAAAAGTTTAAAGAACCAATAGCGCTGGAATTGATTTTTTTGCTATAACGATTACTAAAACATTTAAGTAAATAAAGATATTTCGTTATGATTTTTCAGCATATTCGAATTGTTGATTATTTCGAAATTTAAGGATGTTTAAGAAATCATGATTGATTTCCGATTTCATAAATTTTGATTATAATTAAAAATAAAAGATTTAGTATTTAGATAAGGAATATACTATAATAAGGATTATTAGTACTCGAATATATTAGGAATATTCGTATTGTTAGTTTATTTAATTCAAAAATTATAATTTGCGGATTTAAAGGAAAATCTTCTCGAGATTTTAGGCATATAATTGAGATTTTAGTAACAAACTGTGATCACATTAAATTTTCGAAAGATTTGTGTCGAAATTGTTAGAAACAAATTAGGATAGATAATGTTTGGTTAGTATCTTTTTAATATTTTCAAATCTTTAGAATTAAACTCATTGACATTATATTGTTGAATTTATTTTTTAAAAATGACGTAATATTAAATAAAAAAATAAATAACTAACTATTTTCATTTGATGGTGTAGACAAATTACTATTTATGTAATTTAATTACAAATAACAAATATTAATTTTTATAACAAAACAAATTATTTTCGTAATAACAATTTTTCCCCAAATCAATCTTTTACAAAATATTTATTTTAATCACATATTCTTTCTATATAGAAATAAATAGTTAAATAATTATGGTTAGAAGTAGTTAAGGTAAATAACAAATATGGTTAGTTTAGATATATTATATATATTTCTAATTTAGGTGTTAATTAAGAATTAATGTCGTTTTTATTACAAACTTCCTTAAATTTCTTATTCTAGATCCGAATAGAGTTAAACCCGGGTAAAACCCGGATCCAAAAGACTTTTTGCAAAAATCCCCTGTAAAAATGTATATGTAGATGTTTAAAATTAATTTAATTATGATTTATAAATTAAAACATGTTATTTTTGAAAACCACTCTACCCAATGTTTAATAAGTGGTCATTACTCAAACCGAAATATTTTATTGTGGGCCGCATAATGTTGGGCCGAAATACATTTTGTAATTGCCTTTGTTATTTTGTATTTAATATATTATTGATTCTTTTTAGACAGATAATTATTGTTAGGATTTAGAACAATCGTTGTCTTATATTCTTAAAAAAAAAAAAAAAAACCAGCGAACAGAGAATGTTGAACATCGGTCGATCGGCGAATCATTAGCGAAATTTACCGAGAATCTACCTATTTCGTCTTCGTTTATACTTTATGTTAGTGTTAATTCTCTATAAAGAGGTAAGCTTTTTGTTGAATCAGATTTAGGTTTTACTGTTTTCAAATCAGTCGATTCAATTTGTAATCTTTGAAATATTTTGTTTAGATCTTCGCCAAGGATTTTCAAGAACCCGGATCTTCTATGGGCTATTACGAATTTTATATCTAATTTAGGATCAATTGATACGAATTTGATTTTGTTTTCTTTGAACACGTTAGCTAAAGAATCCATTATCTAGCATAAATTTCCAGTGTACCGAGATACAATTTCTTGAAATTGGAATCTATATTGATATTAACCGTATATTTTGATACCTGAAAATAGATCTAATCAAATTTGTTTCTATTTAGATTTCAGATTATTACAAACATAATGATGTTGCCAAAAGAAGAGGAACTACCAAGATAAGTTTTCGTCACGATTAGTAGAAAACATTCGAACTTATTCAAATATGTAACCCTGCTTATACAAAGTTCAATATCTGCAGGTCTACCATCATTTGGGATTATAGTTCTTATGGAGGAGGGAGATTTGATATTGTCTTTGGAGCTTTGCAGAAATCTAATATAAAAGGTTAGTCAGATGTCAAGAAGGATAACACTTTTGTTTAGTTGCTATGATTATATAGCTACTGTTATGCTTTTTAAATTTTATGAATAAATTTATAAAACTTTGTTTTATTATTGTATGCCAAAAATGAGTATAACAGTCTCACCAATTCTGTCAAGAAGAGAAAATTATTAAAACTTAACTCATAATGATAAAGAGATTAGACACAACAAAGTTATGTTTTTGTTTTTTTAAACCTTCGATGGGGATTGGTCGTGACTCGTGACATAGTAAGAAGGTGCAAATTATATGAAACTGATTATTCTTAACTCAATAAGTTGATAAGAATATATACCTACCCTTATGGTTTTTGAATTTGATGAATAAACATCTCTAACTTTACTTTCTCATTGTATATTAAAATGATTATAATATAATAAATTGCTTGATTCCCTATACTATAATTTAAGCAGTAATAACTCTTACGGCTTGTATATATAAAATAGTTAACTTCATATTATTTAATCTGAAGTTAGTAAGACAGAACTTTGGAAAACAAAGTTGTTTTGGAAATAATGTATGAGTCGAGCCTATAACAAATTCTCCACTCTCGTGATTTGATGAACCTTTGAAGCTTGTTCACTTGATGTTTCTTAATAGTAGCATGAATCAAAGTATCATATGAAAAAGAAAACCGTAGTAAATATCTGACCTTTACAGCCAGAATCATTTCCATGGTCTAGTTTTCTCATTTCCCTAGTATGTTAAAATGAAAGTACTAAATAAGAGATGCAAAGTACTAAAATTTTACCATTGTTTGATATGCATTAATCACCTTTACACGAATGAACGATTTTCACTTGGATTTTACAACATGTCTTGAAAGGTTTGAGGTTAGCAAGATTGGTGATACCAAGATTTCTTCCATTGTTAGAAATGAGAAACGAAGTAGCAAGATTGGTTCTTTGCAGCCAATTTTTAAAAAGGAGTAGCAAAAGATTAGAAAGGTTGGTGATGCCATTATTTGCAGCCATTTTTTTGTAGTAGTAGAAAAAGTAGAGAGGTCGTTTGAAAGCTTAATGAGTCTTTGAAATGGTATTAGACATTCTATATTTATAGGAAACAGAGGTAGGCTAGGGTTAACTCTTTTAGATCGATTCAAATATATTTGCGAATCAAATTTTTGAATAAAAATTTAAGGTATATACTTGATTTAAGAGTAAATCAATATATAGTTATTTTTAGATTTGTATCTTTTGGTAACTGAATACGAATCATATTGAAGACAATCTTTAAATTTGGATTTTTTTTAAACTAATTATTGTTACAGTTACAATATATCCTTATTTACTATTCCGAATTAAAGGGATATGTTTGTTTTGGTAATATCTTTAAATTTTGTTGAAATTACCAAATCTCAACCAGCAAGATCAAGCCGAGGATTGTCAAGTGACGAAATCGCCTAATTCTGTTTCCTTCGGGTCTAGCTCTGATCCGCGTGTCGATCCACCAAAGAAGTCCAGGATCCGCGTCTTAATCCGATCCAGTAACCCATGATCCGCGGGTTTTTTCAAGTTGTAATTATACTTTTACCCTTAAACGATTATTTTCATTTACTCTTTCAATGTAATATTTCTAATGGCATCTCTTGTAATTTTTTACATTTTATAAGGTTAGTTTTTAGGGAATGCTTCCCAATTAATAGTATAGATGTGTCTATAAAGTGTAGAATACTATAAATCACATAGTATAAAGACATGTACATTTGGATTCGATATTGTTAAGAATAAGGCCCAATCTGAAATCCAACTTTTGACATATTATTTATAGAATTTGGCTTAGATATGGAAAATGAAAAGCACCGCAGTATAATATGTGTTCGTTCAAAGATAGAAATTCGTGTAACGTGTTCTAACAACATGAAAAAAGGGGAAAATAAAAAAGACGACATCTTTATTCTTCTTCTGCAATGAAATCAAAATATCACAGAGATGAGAGACCCATCAATTGATAGAGTGCTTCTCCGATTTCTGTCATAGGAAACAAATTTAATGGAATTAAAATCGAAGAGGTAAGAAAATTTTATGTTTTACATCTATAAGATCCATATAATTTGCAATCGATTCGTAATCAAAACTTACAAATTAATAATACATCTTCGAAATACCATTGAGACATGTGAAAACGTTATTAAGAGCCATTTGGAAAAAAAAATTTGTTTGATGGGAGTAAAGTAAAATGGTAATGATTTGTGAAAACACAGATGATATGGCCTATATTTATACTGGTAACGCATATATTTACAAATGTAGGGTTTCGCAAAGCATATTTTGGCAAAGTATATTCGTCGGCGATAAATGAGGATTTTTTTATTTGAAAACACTTAAAAGAAGGAAATTAAGATCTCAACAAAATATATGATAATGGCAATAACAGTAATCATCGGGAACCAATGATCGGATCTTTATATATGAGATATTAATGAGGTTTGAAATATAATCCGATTTTATCTAATTTTTAAAAGTATATAAAATAAAATCTAGGGTAATTATGGAGATTTTCAACGATTCAAATTCGAAAAAAAGTAAATAAGATATTGTGGGCGAGAAATGAGGAATTTTTGCGTAATAAAAGGTAAATAAGATCTTAACGATATATATTAGGATGGGAATAAGATTAAGATTAAAACTTAATCTCGAAGGAGATACCAACGGTGTCATTTATGATGTTTGCCACATAAGCCGATTTTTGATAATTCCATCGTTTTTGTTTGGTAATTAATGCTCGTTTTTTTTGGTAATTAATGCTCGTTTTATTTGTTATTAATTCAAAAAGATCTGAATTGTATATTTACGGGTAATTTTTTTGTTTTAACCCGACCCAAGTACTTTTGTACTTCTCTTTTAATAGTATAGAGATGGAATGGATATCCTTAATTTTGGCTCGTTCGGAATCATTATTTTCCCAAAATGATTCCACTCCGATATTGATATATTTATTAGTAGTTTGTATGAATTTAGTGACGGAACGGATATCTTACATTTTAGTTCGTTCGGATCATTATTTTTCAAATCTGAATCCATTCCGATATTAATATGTTTTATATGAATTTAGTGACGGAACGAATATCCTAAATTTTAGTATGTTCGAACTTTTTTTTAATCTAAATCCGTTTTAACATTGATATGTTTTATATAAATTGAAAGACGAAGCAGATATCATAAATTATGATTCGCTGGGATTATTATTTTGTATGAACTTAGGACAGAGTGGATATCCTAAATATTTGGTTCATTACTACATATTATTTTTTCAATATGCTCTTGCTCTGAAATTGATATATTTTGTAAGAATTAAATATATATATATATATATATATTCTTTTAAAAAGTTAAAAAAAAAGGACTAATTATTGGGATCCTTGGATTGATGACATGAATACTTTTGTTATAGTATTAAATACTAGACATATACGATATATATCTATTTTATAATATACTCTCTCTGTTTCATTTTATACGATGTTTTAAACATTTTATTTTGTTTTACAATATACAATATAGGATGTTTAAGAAAAACAGTTCAAGTTTCTATACAAAAAAATTTAATTTGTATAATTTGTGACTATTTACTATTTAGATTATGCAGTAAAGCATATCATTTGTCAAATTATCTTTAACTATTTATTAAATTATGTTTTAATGTAAAATTAATTATGCTTTTAAGCAAAATATAGCGATAGTTCTAATTAAAACAAAAAATTGGTCAAACGAAAAAGAAAAAGGACGAAGAGGATTGAACGGTAGACGTAGACGCCATTGGAGTTTGAAAGAGGAACACAAAGGGAATTAGTCGACGCTTCATGGATTATTGTCGTTTCGGTTTCATCTTCTTCTTCTTTCTATAGCACGATTAAAGCCTCACTAGATCCATCGTCGGCCATGGATCAATCTACGGCTACGGCTACGTCTTCGTCTTCGTCTTCCACTCATTATTTCTCCATTTTCACGAATTATCCTCTGATTTCCGCCGTCACCTCTTTCACTATCGCTCAATTCATCAAACTCTTCACCTCCTGGTACGTTCTCTCTGTATCTATGTTGGGATCAGACTCCGACTCAATGCTAAATGTGCCTTTGTTTGCTTGTATCAAACTTATAGTTTAGGGAGTGATCTTGATATAGATTTTTCCTGGTTCCTCAATCTTTGGATCAGAAACGGTTCATAGAAAATTATAGTAGACGTTGTTAGATAAGAAAGGATCTTTACATGTTTCCTAGATTCTGCAGGTATAGGGAAAGGAGATGGGATCTCAAACAGCTTATTGGGTCCGGAGGAATGCCTTCTTCACATTCAGCGACCGTTACAGCCCTCGCTGTAGCTATTGGTTTACAAGAGGGCTTTGGTGGATCACATTTTGCCATTGCTTTGGTTTTGGCATCTGTTGTAAGTTGCTCACCTCCTTTTCTCTTGTGGAACACTTTCTTAGCTATTTTCTGTAGTTTATCAATTGGCTATTAAGGAATCAAGTGACGATTATATCTGAGTGATTTGGGTTCGTAGGTGATGTATGATGCTACCGGTGTTAGGTTACATGCGGGTCGTCAAGCTGAGGTTTGATTGCTGCTCCAGCTCTTCTTTGTTTCCATCTTTTCACTTGACTGGCTTTTTTTTTGATGGAAGAACCAGTATCGGTTTTGTCATGATGCATTTGAGCTTTGGTATCCTGATCTCTGGGGTCTGATTCATTTTCCAGGTTCTCAATCAGATTGTATACGAACTTCCTGCAGAACATCCGCTGGCTGAAAGCAGACCTTTGCGGGAACTTCTCGGTCATACCCCTCCCCAGGTATGTAATACAGGTGATTTGACAACTATAAATCCTTGTGATCACAGACCACATACAAACCTCACATTTGATTACTATATGATCCAATCCCAATTTTCTCTTTGACCTACGACTTGTCCTTCCATATATGACTAGAGCTATATGAGATTCTTATAGCTGTTACATTTAGCGAGAGTAGTTAGTGAGTTAGGGGAAAACATGAGTACAAATAGAGTATTGTAGGAATCGGTGAGGGTGATAGTGTAATTGGGAACAGAGTTGGGGGGCTTTTTAGAGCCTTGTGTGAATTGATGGAACTCTAGAACAAACCCTAGTTCGAGTTTACTTTGGTTGATAAATGAACTACTCTTTGATTTGTAACCGTGTTTTGGTATCAATGAATTTCTTGTTCAGGTCGTTGCTGGTGGAATGCTTGGAAGTGCCACAGCAGTGACTGGATACTTATTTTTCAGGATAGCTACAAGCTAACGTCAAGAACATGCATAGACACAAGTCTTCTGCTTCATTGCCTATTGAAGCCACTGGAAAGTACCAAAAACAGATTTACAACCGAATCCGAGTTAAAAAAATATTTATTCTTGTTTAACCTTGACCTTACCATATGTAAAGAAATATTGATACACCATTACAAAAATTACGTGATTTTATTTGAAAATAAGTAGTATACAAATGAATTTGTGGAATAAAATTGCGTTGTTCATCATTGTTTACCAAGTATGATGGAGAAGACATCTCTCATGTGCAGAGTAGGATCCAAAGTAATACCAGACTTTGCTCGCCAAGCAATGTGTTGGTCAGGACGGACTAAAATAGATCCTCTGTCTGACATTTTACATATACTCCACCAAGAAGTTCCTTCACCATTTTGTCTTTTAACTTCCATAACATCGACATAATTTTCCCATGGAGCTACTGCTGAATTGCTCTCCCTTTCAAGACCTTCATCACTACTAGGCCAGACCACACATACTTTTACATTAGCCATTAACTCTTTTCCGACTTTGAATGTAGCACGAGCTAGCTCATAAGACTCTTGTAATGGCGATATTATAAGTAGAAACTCCACTTTCTCTGTCGAAACAAGATCCAGTGTAGAAACAATAACATCTCTTTTGGAATCTGACAGTATTTTCATATACATATGAGGCAGTCTTGAACCTGGTTCAGCACAAGGCACATAGTCTCTTCTACGACCACTCGGTACTTCGGGATCACCAGCTTCAGACTTGCTATCAGGAACAATGGCTCCCTCTAAATACCTAAACAGTAAACACAGTAGCTTCTGTCACTCCAAATTTGAATTTACATTGGAATATAAAGCGGAAACACATTGGTTCAAACATTAAAGACCACACTCTCCATGTCATGAAACTGCTGATATCAGTTAACAAAAGCAGCCAACCCTAGTTTCTTCTCTTTTTTATTCTTGGGGCAACTCAGACTAGAGTTAGAATTCTATAGTTCCAAACGTGGTATTATACCTGAAACCAAGATCTTCTGCAGGAAACTGTAGCTGTAGGCTTTTTCCTCCTTCGAAGATACTCTTTAATCTGCTAAGTCTCTGATTTCCCAGCGGATTGCTCTCATTCAATATAGATTCTGAAAGCTGTGCACGTCCTAGTGCAAAGACATTATCCAAGATTGCCTTTTGTAGCCCAGTTGGAAGGATGGAACCAACTGTTTTGTTTATAAACCTATGCACTACAACACCATAGAGATATAATTGCTGTAAACCTGATCACGGAACGATGAACTGAGCAAGAAGACAAGCTGGTTTTAGTTTACCTGAGTTTGCAACTGTTGGGTCAAGGCCTAGCGCTGAAGGAACCGACATAGCTGCTTTGAAGTTCTGAACACTGAGTGAAGTATTGGAGAGGGCAATCTAACAGTCACAATAAGATACGTGTTAATGACTCAAGTTAGGAGGTAAGTATGGCAAGAAAAAGTTAGAAAAGATAAATACCATACCGGCCTACGTTCTGTTTCATAAGTGTTAAGAATCGAAGATTTTGCAGAGCCCTGAACAAGAGCTGCTATTTTCCATGCAAGATTATGAGCATCCTGAATTCCAGTGTTCATTCCTGCAAAAATCATGTAATTTGCTATCAGAAAATACTATCCAAGACAGCTGATTGAATGTCAAATAAAAATCAAACCGATTCCTGAGGCTTGCCATCACTCAATTCTTATAATTTAGAAAAAGAAACTGAGAACAATGATCCTTTAAGATCAACTTTCAAGTCTGGGGCATCCGTTAGTATCACAATATCTCATCCAACCATATCTTCAATCATAATAGTACTACAATGGAAAATATTATATTTCTTCCGAAGTTATACCCATCATACATGACAAAACTATCAAAGAAGCAGTGTCTGGTTACCCTTTTCAAAAAAATTGGAACACTTACCAAAACCTCCAGCAGGCGGGAACCGGTGAGCAGCATCACCAGCAAGTATCACTCTGTTCTCAAAGCACATGAATTTCTCGGCGACTTCAGCATGCATGACCCATGGCTTAATGTCAGCTACATCCAAGTCTGAAAGCTGATGTCCCACCAAATTGAATATCAGCATCTTGCACATCTACAAAACAATCATCGGTCAGAAAGATATGACAAACAAAGTCGCATTTGAAGTTGGTCACAGCTGGGACAGAGATAAAACCACAGAGGTGAATAAGTTTTCACATGTGAAAATCCATTCTTCTCTAGGTAATGATAGAAAATACCTCAAGACTGAAATCAGATAGACTCTGTTGAGGTGGATAGTATGGAATCTGCAGTAAAAAGAAATGAATATATGCTAAGCTACGGTATATAACACTTATTTAAGTACATAAATTGAGATTAAAGTATCCTTTACTTTCTGGGTCGGGCTATAGCTACCTGCAAAACAAATTCTCCTTGTAGAAGATCATGGGCAACAAGAACTCCTATACCGTCGGTGTTAAAAATAAAAAATAACATCCCTGGTCTGCTACTGATCAGGTACTCACCGAGCTCTCTACTCATAAAATGGACACTAACAAGCTTTTGTAGATCTTTTTCCCCTCGCATTTCTATTTCTGTGAGCTTTCTTACAGCACTCCCAGCACCATCAGCACCAACCAGTAGACTACATTGAATGTTTCTTTTCATATGCTTGCCTCCTTTGAGATAAGAAACAGTTGCAGTAATACTGTCCTTGTTAGCATCAATCGCCACACACTCATGACCCATAAGAATTTGCCTCGCAACCACAGAGTCAAGCTCAATACCATCTGAATCCTTGGAACCTCGAACATGAAAGCCGAGGTCTTCCAACCGCTTAAGCAATAAATTTGTCAATTTGTACTGGGAGAAGTGAGCAACAGAAGCTGGGCTGACAACTTTCTCAAAATCTGTACATAAACACCACAAGGACTTGTGTGAAAGGCCTGCATTTTTCCTCAACATAAAATAGTTGTACTCTATGAGAACTATTTACACAAGAAAAATGTATGGAAGAACACACCTTGAGGCTGCATGTGATCCACTGTGCCTAGAGTTGAGCCGGAGAGAGATGTACAGTAAATAAAATTTCTCCACAAATCTACAGGAGGCTGTGATCTTTCAATCTCCTCAGCTAATCCATCCAATGCACGGAAGATCTAAGTAAATGAAAACTGAGACATTAAGGGTTTTAAATCCAGGACAACCAAAAACAATATTAACCACAGGAAACACAAAAAAATCCAACCTCCATTGATCGGTTGTTGATAAAATGTGCTTGTGGATGTTTGGAGAAGCTTGTGGCTTTGTCAACAACAGCACATTTCACTCCTAACATAAAGGTGAGAATTCAATTCGATCAAAGACGTGAACTCAACTTGATAATGTAAGCTCAAAACTCAAAACTTGAGACGAAAATCAGAGAAAGTATTGTACCTAGTTTGGTGAGAAGAATGGATAAAACGAGGCCCACCGGTCCAGCGCCGACGATCAGAACAGGAAGCTTAGCAGCATCTTGGCCATTGAATGAATTTGTACTTGAAAGGTCCTTGCTTTGGAAGTGCCTCACTGGGTACACTCTGACCCTCGAATTGTTTATGCTTATTCGTGTAACCCTCTTGATCAGCCCTAGAATCGCCATGGTCGAGTATCTAAACCCTAAACCCTGAAAATATTGGAAGGTAAAAAAACTCTAATTTCGGCCCCTGAATACAAATTAATGAAGAAATAGAGAATCTAAGATCATCAAAGATTACCTTCAGAGATGATTTCTCTCTCTCTCTCTCTCTTTCGACCTTTTACAAGTGTTTCAGAAACGACAGATCATCTTCTAGGCTACGGCAGTGACGGCGGTGACACGGCGACAGAGACGACGGAGACGCCGTGCAGCTGATGGTGGGGCTTTGATATTATATATTGTTTTTTTGGATTATTTTATAATACTTATTCATACTACGTGGCACTGGTTTTATCCACTTGATTTGGTCCACATGTGAATCGACCGTCAGAACCAACAGATATACAAATAAAGTTTTCAAGAATTGTCGACTCTGTTTTGTGCTGATGAAAAGTGAGGTCTCATATATAAAACCTGAAACATCAGTAGACATAGATACCTCTCGTGAGAGAGGAGTAGTTAGCAAAAATGGTGTGATCACAATGAGACCTGTACAAATCTATCGTCTCTATGCAGATGACTTGTAAAAGGTAAAAGACGAAAGAAAAAGCAACTTTACATAGGAGACTGTAAAACCTATCTTTTCTTCTTAATGGTGGATCGAGTAGCTTTTCTTCCAGAGGAAACTGAATGGTCTTGTCATTGTCTTCCTTCTGGAGATTGATTTAGTCAAAGGTTTTACTTCTGACTCTGGAGCTGAAACTGGCGCAGGTATAGCCATTGGTGCCGATACGGTTTTCCTGGGAGCTTCATCTCTCTTTGGTGATGGCTGATCTCTTTGCCTTTGTTCCCTGAACAGCATCAGAAGCTTCTGAGACTTGTCTCTTCCTCGGGGACTTCCATTCACTGATATCGAAACCAGAGATGGAATCACTCCTTCTTGTAGCACCATCTGGATACACGACTCACTTCCCGTACATAGGATCACAAGGCAAGAAACTGCTTGCTCTTGTTCAACCGTGTCACCGGTGTCTAGCACCGTTGCAAGAGTGCTGATCATTCCTTGTGTTGATATCATCTCTTCTTTCCCTTCCCGGCTAGAGGCTAGGTTTAGTAACACGGCTAATGACTTCTCTATCCACAAGTGGTTACCTGTTGATGCAAGGACTTGGAGGCTTTTGATAATATTTGATGAAAGAAGAGTGGGAATATTTGGAGAGTAGGTGGAGAGGTTGTAGAGGGCGTGAAGGGCGTGAAGGGCGTCCAGCTTGCATTGGGTTTCGGTTTCCTGAAGAAGAAGATTCACGAAAACGGGAACTGCTTGGCTTGAGCCAATCACAGGTTTGGCTTCCTCGAGGCATGAGAGGTTTAGATACAATGCAGTTGCTGGCCCTTGGGATTGGGAACAAGAAATCATTTTCTCCAGCAGTGGGATGACCCCTGAAGTCAGCATCAACTCTTTGTTCCTGCAGTGCATCCAAAAGAACGAAACAGAAGAGCATTATAAACGGGGATATTAGAAAGAAGATCAGAAACTGACATTGCTAAGGACTTCCGATTGCTAACAAAGACAGGATGTTAACTAACCTGTTATTGTTCACTGCTAAATTAAATAGAGCCATAGCTCCGGTTTCCTGAGCGGCTGCATTGTTTTCATGAACAGCTGATTCTAGAAACTGTAAAAATGCTTCAACGAACCCATTGGCCCCCATGAGGATCCTGGCCTCTTCATTATCCTTTAGCAATAGCCTGACATTTTCTACTACTTTGCACTTTTTAGCCAAGTCCTCCTCTTTGTCCAAGATTGCCAATATATCCTGATACCCCTCTAGAACATTGATTTCAGAATCCACCTCATCATTGACAACAAGATCATTGTTTTCTTCTTTTTGTTGTCGTTCAGATTCAATAGTACTACTCTCCTCCAAAGGAACGATTTTAACAACCTTCGGTGTGCACGATCCTACACTATCAACTGACTTTGAATTGGGGGATTCAGAGTCAGAGATGGTTAGTCTCCAGTAGTTGAGGTCAAGAGATTCTGGTGGTCCATTGGGGACTGAGATTCCATTCTGCTCACACCAGCTCGCAATCAGACCTTTAACACAGTAATTGGGAGTTAGGGAAAGATGTGGGAGCTGCTGCTGAGTCTTGGGGCAAGAATTATGTCCATCACTGAACCATTTCTCGATACAAACCCGTTCATAAGTCTGTCCAGAAGCAATAATGACAGGATCACACATAAGCTGCAAAGATATGGGACACCTACGTTCTTCTGGTGGGATGGGCATCTGTCCTGGTTTCCTACTGTTCATAGGCTTATAGTTAATAGAACCAAACTTGGATAGTTGACGCCCAAACGCATTAACACGATCTTCATTAGAACCTTGACCAGTGGGGGAACATGGTGTTGAACACGGAGAATCATTCTCATCCAACATCTCACTTCTGAATAGCTTGGAGTATTTTCTCATGAGATGCAAGAGGTAAGCCACAATTGACTCCTTTCGCTTGTCTTCTTCCACACGTGCCCTGTCAATGAGTTTCTTTAAAGCACGCCGCTCCGCCAGAGCTGATCTAGAAGAAGTTATACTTAATCTAGTAGCTGCCTGGTGAAAAATTTCAAGTTCGGTGCTGTCATTGCCGTTGTCAAATTTCTTCCCTTGTTGCAATAGTGCAATTATGCTATCACCAACTTCCTTCTCTGATGGATCAAGTAAGAACTTGGTGTGCTCTAGTTCACCAACAATGTCCAAAATCTGAAGAAATCAAATATCCAAATTAGAATTTGCTACTAGAAACTAGCATTTTATCAATTAGAATTCTAAAATCAACAAGCAAATAAAAACCAGGGTATGTATGAAATTATCAAACCAAAAAGACAAGCAACTAGCTAGAAATAGATGATACATAAGACCTGGAAAGTTCTTGATTTGCAACAAGGAAAGATTGTGCTGTGCACTGAAATAGACATCTCACCTGAGACCCAATTGAGCTAGGAACAATGTCCTCCACGCGTCTAAGATTATCGATAAGTGCAGATTTTGCTTTCTCAAATTTTCATAGTACAGCATCCCCAGTAATGGCCTGTTCGACAAAAAAAAAGTGGAGGAATTCAAGAGAGAGACCAAACACACAAATTAAAGAGAAAATGTATCCAAAGAAGGAAAGAGAAACTCACCAAATAAAGTTTGCTACACTCAGAACAGTGTTGAAGAATGTTCTTAGCCTTTTCAAGTGCAATATGTAACGAACACAAGGCTTGAATCCCTGATTTACTCCGAGGTCTTGCTTCTTCCAACGACGGGAAGATGGACAATACCTTGCAATAAACTGCAGATAGTTCCTTGCACATATCTCTATGTAACTGCATTTTGGCAAACAAAAAACTTTTAGCAAAGAATAGAGAACAACACCATTAAATGACAAGAGTTACCATCAAAGAACAAGAAGAGAAAAACTAAGATTCCCAATAACTCTCTCAACACAAGATTTGCTTACAAGTAACAGGGAAAGGGATCAAAAGGCAAAAACTGGATTCAAAGGAAAAACATTTATAAACAAAAGCAATCCAAACATAAAAATAACGAGACAACATGCTAAACAAAACCCCCTTTTCGTCCATTTGATTCCAACAACTAACCGACAAGAATCTTTGAGAAAGAATTTATGATTGAAACATATATGATTAATGAGCATATATGTACCTTGGCATCGCTAGCAGCGAACAAATTCTCCTCGAGCTCGCTAACATCCATGATCTAACCTCACCCTGAAAACTCTAATTAGCTAGCTACAGCCTACAGCTTTATACAAACCTGAAGACATTAAACAGATCTAAAGGCTGCGTGTCTTGGCGATCTAATTTTTAGATCTAAAGGTTTCTCTGGGTTTTGGTTCACAGGTCTGTTGAGCCACAGTCTTTCTGAAACCTTGTTTGGTCTTTGCCGGAACGGATTGAAGGTGGAGTCGGCTGGTGAGGAAAACGGTGTCGACGACGATTGGATTTGAGGGTTCGATTAGTAACCTTTTTTCTTGCTAGGTATGGGAGTTAAAGGGTTAGGGAATGGGTGTCTATAAGTCAACGAGTCTGGGAAGGATGTTTTGGGTCTGGTTTACTTCGGCGACGGCTCGGCGACAGGAACCGGTAACTCCGGTCAATGTTCTCGGCGTCGGAGTGTAACCGCAAAGGAGTCGCCTTTGTTACCGCCAGAGTTAATCGTTTGACCTTGTGTTCTCATCACCCGTAGCTTTTCAGATCTCTTCTTCGATCATCGTCGTCGGTTTTCCTTGCTTTTTTGTATCCGTGTTTCTCAGTTGTAATTTTGCCCAATTGGGATTGATTAATATATATTTATGATTTTTAAAAAAAAAAAAAAAAAAAAGAAAAAAAAAAGAAATTGAAACACGAACCAGACACGAGTTTTGGAAGAAGAAATTAACGCACGTGTGGAAAAGTCGCCACAACAATACCAAAAAACGAAAAACCGAAAATAACGTACCGGGAAAATGGGGACCGGCCACAAAGAGAAAAGGCTTCATAAGTGTAGAGAATCTATATATAATTAGAGAGTCTTCATCTAGGGTGTCCACATCATCATCCACTTAAGCATGCATCTAATTAAAAATTAAAAATTATAATTTATTTAAAATATTCATTCAATACATATTTATTTTTGGGAAAAATGTCGTTTTATCTCCCAACTTTCAAAAAGTGGTCAATCAATACGTCAACTTCATATGTGGCCATTTAAAACATGAAATAAACGTTGACTAACGTATGAGACATGGAACTTCGTTGACCAGGCCAAAATAGACATGCCGTTATCAGTCGTTAACGGAACTTCTAACGCCCGTTATCACCCGTAACGACTCTGTTAATCAACTTTCAAATTGTGGCCATTTTAAACATCAACTTCATATGTGGCCATTCAAAACATGAACTAATCGTTGACTAACATTTGAAACATTAGAATTCGTTGACCAGGCCAAAGTAGACATGTCGTCATCATTCGTTAACTGAACCTATAACATCCGTTATCACCCGTTAACGACACTGTTAGTATGTCCAAAAAGATTTTTCCCAAATGAAAACACCAAATCCCCAAATCTATTTCTACAACAGCTCAAACAAGATGAATAGTCCTATTATCTCTATCTGCATTTCAGAAAAGCTACATTTAGTCTAGGCCTGGGCATAATACCCGAACTCGAAGAACCGAACCGAACCCGACCCGAAAAATCCGACCCGAACCCGAACCCGAAGTTTTAAAATACCCGAACGGATTCTAAACTTGACAACCCGAAAAACCCGAACCCGACCCGAACTCGAACCCGAACAAGTACCCGAACATACCCAAAATATAAGTACATAGTTATAATATATTAGTAATATTTATACTTGTAATAACCTAAGTGCCAAAATTATTCGGATGTTAAGATATTCGGGTGTTTTAGCTACTTTGGGTTAGATTCGGGTTAAAATATTTGGGTTTTATAGATTTTTTGATTATTTTTCAATACTTTGCATAGGTCGGATACAAAATTTCTAATATTTGGATACTTTGGGTAAACCTGAATCCGAACCCGAAATACCCGATCCGAACCCGACCCAAACCCGAAGTTTTAAAATACCCGAATGGATCTTAGTTTTCTAAACCCGAAAAACCCAAACCCAAAAAACCCAACCCGAACCCGACCCGAATATCCGAACGCCCATGCCTATTTTAGTCCTATGATGGGTCTACAAGTTTGCTTCCATGATTCCTTTTTAGATTTAAAACAAATATATAAACAATGTTTGCTTCCAATTACTGGCTCTACGATTGTCTATATATCAAACCATGTCCTTGGATTATGCTTTAAACAAAAAATTTGTCCTGATTTTCTCTTGATTATTTTCAAAACGACGTCGTTTTGGATATACTAACAGAGTCGTTAACGGGTGATAACGGATGTTATAGGTTTTTTTAACGAATGATGACGACATGTCTATTTTGGCCTGGTCAACGAATTCTCATGTTTCAAATGTTAGTCAACGATTAGTTCATGTTTTAAATGGCCACATATAAAGTTGATGTTTAAAATGGCCATAATTTGAAAGTTGATTAACAGAGTCGTTACGGGTGATAACGGGCGTTAGAGGTTCCGTTAACGACTGATAACGGCATGTCTATTTTGGCCTGGTCAACGAATTTCCATGTCTCAAACGTTAGTCAACGTTTATTTTATGTTTTAAATGGCCACATATGAAGTTGACGTATTGATTGGCCACTTTTTGAAAGTTGGGAGATAAAACGACATTTTTCCCATTTATTTTTATTTATTATTATTTATGATTAAAAATATTTAAGTTAAATAAAAATGAATTAAAAATATAAGTAAAAAAACAGAGAAATATAAATTTATACATAATAATATAATTTGAATTTTGGAGAGAAAATGTTTAAGATTAATCATATTTAAAAATTTATAAACATTTTCTTTTTAAATTGATATATTAAAAATCAATATGATGGATATTTCAGTTTTAAAATTGATATATTCAAAATCAATATGATGGATATTTCTAAAACTGTATGAAATTTGAAAGATCATACATTTATTAGCTTTCAGAAAAAATATAGTAATGAATCATGACATACTTAAAAATCAATATGTTGGGTAATTCTAAAATTGTATGAAAGTTGAAAAGACATACATTTTTTAGTTTTCAAAAATCTATATAGTGAATTAGTGATGAATCTTATGACATATTACTAATTAAAATAATAGTTGATTAGTTTTTTAATTACAGCAAACCAAATGTTAAAATATAGCTAAATAGTATCGTATATACTAATTTTTTTAAAAAACTAAAATATAATTATGTATACTTTTAGTTTTTAGCTTATCATAAATATAATATAAAATTATATTTGATAGTAATACAAACATTATGCACTTATTAAAAATTTAAAAGTTTATTTTAAGAATATCAAAATAGGTGGAAAGAGCACAATTTCAACATTGAATTTAATAAGATAGAAACAAAAAAAAATAAAAAATATATAATATGAAAATATCGGAACTGAGTGACAAAATTATTCTTAGAAAGCTAAATTCCTAAAGAGAAAGTCAATATATAAAATGAGATATATATATATATACACATATATTTTTTTCTTTTCTTTTTTGCTTCTAAATACAATAGATATAAATTGGAAAAAACTAAACCACATTTAAAATATCAGACTTGAGTTTCGAAAATTATAAAAGAAAATATTATTCATAAGAATTCATGCACTAAAAGAGAAAATAGATAATGAACGGTTATAAGATACTAACTCAATACCAAATAAAAAACGTTTAATATATGTAGCATATTATAAATAGATGTGTAAATCCATATAATTATCACTTCTAACATTTATATTATATTTATATAACCGTTTTTTATCGATATAATTACATATAGTTTTCAAATAGTATTGTAATAGAAAATATTTAAAATAATGTAATTTACAAAACTATAAAAAATGAGTATATATAATTAAACACACGCAACGCGTGGGTCCATTTCTAGCCCGTTTAACTTGGCAAAATGACTCAACAAGTTTTGACAGCATTTTGGTCAATGTTGGTTTAAGCCATCATGTTTTGTTAAATAATGGAGATTGTACTACTATAATATGGTTTAGCTAATTTCTGTACTATAAAAAGACTTGGCAGCAACAATAGTATTAAAAAAAAAAAGACTAGAAAAGTGAGCTAGACAAAAAAAAAAGAAACAATCAGTTCCAATCACAATCAGCAATTGGTCAAATGACTCAAAGTCCACCTACTATTAGTTATCAGCTTCAGCGATAATTTACAGAGCACAGCATTTCTCAATCTATACTTAGTGATGACCGGATTAATCCCATCTGGTGATATCAATCCACTTTTGGATGATGAATCCCAGAGACCTCGTGTTATTACTCCTTTTCCTTCTCCTAAACTCACCGACTTGTCCATGGTAATTAACTCTCTATCTTTTGGCTTTTCTTCTTGTTTTCTCAGTGGGAAGTTTGAATTTTTGGTATCAGTTTCAAGGTGATCACAAGGAGAGCATGTATTGGGGAACTTATCGTCCTCAGGTGTATTTTGGAGTTCGAGCCAGGTATTCATTTGGAGACTCGGATTTGTTGCTTTTTATTAGTCAACTTTATCATATGATTCTGGACAACTTTCACCAAACAGTGTGCACGTGAATCAGTTATTCTGTTAAAGGTTAAAGAGCACTAGACTACTGTTACATAGGATTTGATGGAATTGATTTGTTTTTCTGTCTTGTTCATATAAGAACTAAAATAGCTAGTGGCTATTCTTAATGCTGGAAAATGGAATCTAATCACTCTCCTATATATATGCCATGTGAAACTGTGTTTCTTTCTTTCACAAGCTGCTAAGTTTTTGTAAATGACTATGCAGAACTCCTAAGTCCCTTGTTGCTGGCTTGATGTGGCTCGTTATGAAAGATGGGAAGCAAGTTATGAGGCATTTCTGTGAAAACTCTGCCGATCTTAAGTCGTTTGGCTGGAGAGAACACAATGGAAGAGATTTTGGACGGCAAGAGCTGTTTGAACAAGATATGGTTTTGGAGACAAGTTTTGTCAAGTCTAAGGAAGGCAGCCTTGGTTATGGAGGAGATTGGTCGATTCGTATCAATGTTAAAAATATGTTGAATGATGATGAAGTAAAGAGAAGTGCACATCTCTTCTTCTATCTAGCTGATGAAGGTGGCAATGGTGTGAATTTAGGCAAAGATGTGTTAGGGCTTAAAGAGAGTTCTGTCCTAGCTTCAGGCTCACGTCAAGATGTAGGAAACTGGCAGATGCACTTAAAATCACAGGTAACTTTTGATTTGAAACTGCTTTTTCTTATTAGTTAATGTCTTTGCAAAAAATAACCATTTTAGCTGCGCTTCGTCTGCAGAATCATCTTGAAACACATTATTGCGGTTTCAAGACGCCTGACATTGTCAATCTCTCTAACCTTGTTCAGCAAAATCTCACTGCACAGGTTATATGTTATATCTCAGGTTTACTAGTTTCTAAAACTGTGTTTTTAGTAACCACAATGCTTATATTATATGCCTCTTGGCTTGTATAGTTTCAGGAAGGGAAGTCTGGACTACTTCAGCTCTCTGACACGTCGGAAGATTCTTCCAACATTTATGTTTTTCAGGTAATCTATCAGTCTTGAATCTCTTGATCAAAGATATATGAATACAGATTTATTTAAAGACGAAAACAGCATCCGTAGCTAAATAACTCAAATGACTTCTTCATCCGCAATCCCCATTTTGCCATA